CAGGTGCAGCCTTTCTGGAGGCTTTGGCTGAAGGCTGTCGTCCATGAGGTCAGCTCCTACAGGGTGGCCACATCTGCTAAACCATCCTCTGAAACGTCCTGAAGCCCAAGGCAGCACATGCTGTTTAGGGTTTGGGGTTTAGGGTTTAGGGTTTAGGGCTGTTTTTGTTGCGATTAGCAGGTCCTTCTCCTGGAATTTCCGAACCAGCTTTCGCATCTCGACGGCATCCAACGTGTCAGACTCATCGATGTCCACCTTGCGCATATCTTTGCAGGATCTTGGTTCGTCCATGGCAGGCCTCGCTGCATTCGAGAAAAGCAAAGCAGCTGGCGCCGGCGAACCTCCTTGATAAGCATCTGTTGGACATCGAAGCTGGCGGAGTATCCCATCCAGCGAAGCACCTGAAGGCAAAGGCAAACAGCACAGGCCCCCAGTGAGCTTCAAGACCTCCGACTCTCTTTGTCATGCTCTGCAGGCCTTCCCCACGTCCTTGACATCGATCTCCCCATAACCTCATGCGTGCTGGGACGCTGGGATGGGAGTCAGGCATAAGTGCTCACCAAGCTCTCTTGCAACTTGCGAGTGCATCGAATAGTCCAACAGTCCCAGAGGGGAGGCAAGTACAGAGCCCAAGGCAGTAGTGCCCTTCGACGTAGTTGCGTACTTCCCCCAAAGTAGGGGTACCCAGCTTACACCCCAAGTAGAATAGAATCTTCTCAAGACGGGCCGCCCCAAAAGGGTACCCCTATTTTCAAAGGGTTTAGGGTTTAGGGATGTTTAGGGTTTAGGGGTTTAGGGTTTAGGGTTTAGGGTTTAGGGCTTAGGGCTTAGGGTTTAGCGTTTGGGACATCAGCTGCCACTCGGGCGAGGTACCGCGCCGGTCGTACTTATTGAAAGCGGCGTCGAGCTCCATGATCTGAGAAGGGTCATGTTAGGGTTTAGGGTTTAGGGTTTAGGGTTTAGGGTTTAGGGTTTAGGGTTTAGGGTTTAGGGTTTAGGGTTTAGGGTTTAGGGCTTAGGGCTTAGGGTTTAGGGTTTAGGGTTTAGGGTTTAGGGTTAGGGTTTAGGGTTTAGGGTTGCTCCCCCCTTATCCTAACAGTCCTCAATAGGGATATATTCGTACCCCTCATTATAATCCCTATTCAGGACTGTTAGTCTAAGGGGGAAGATCCCAAGTTCATTTTTTCCATAGGAGCGACGGACAAAATTATTTTCCGCGGCGAAAGGTCGCAGAATACCATGTTATCGCATTACGTGGGGCCCATATCGCTTTACATACTATGGGACTGCGGGACCCATGTGTCTGAATGCGCAACTAAGGTTATCGCTTTAGGCCCACCTATATCGCTTTCCATGGTTTACTGATGGCGAACAACTCGTGTCCACCGTAGTACTGGCTTAGACAAACATAATTTTGGCAGGCGCGCGAAAATAGGACTGCTTCATGAACCAGAACATGAGGAAACGCTAGAGTAGCCCCCAGCGTGAGGTTTGCGAGTGTGCTTGCCAAGGACAGACTGCCAGTTTCCCAAGATCCGCAGCACAAGCCCAGCCATACCCTGACGCTGCACTGAGGGGTCGCGCCTGTTTCCTGTCCAGACCTTCCCTGTATCGATAGACCTGCGCATAGCACATCCTTGAATCTGACACACGGGCGGCGGCATGTCTCTGGACTGTCTGTCAACTTGGGATTACACTAACAGCTCCTTGATTCATTCTAGTACCCCCGATTATAGTCCCAAGGGGGAACATCCCAATTGTCAATTCTGAAGCCACGCCTCCAGGAAAAGGAAAAAGTTCGAGATCGTGATCGTCTTTGGCATGACAACTTGAAAGTCCTGAATATATATGCATATGTATATATAATTTACATACGTAATATGGTTGGCTGGCACTACCCGAATCTACGAAAGAGCACGGACTGTTGCTCGGGTTTTGGGAGGGTCGTCGCATGTCGCTAAGCCCGCAAACCCTAAACCCTAAAACCCAAACCCTAAACCCCAAACCCTAAACCTGCAGGCTCTGGCAATCTCTTGCAGCCGAAGGCTCATATGGAGACACAGCAGGCCTGGGGCTTCAGGATTGGAGAGAAACTACTCTTTGCCTAAGAATCCCCCCCCCCCCCCCCCCAAAAAAAAAAAATAGCAATCCTTTTATTGCCCTTATAAGGACAGAATGTTTTTTTTTAATTTTCCGGTGGTTCTTAAGCAAATAAATAGCAAGAAAAATCGCCCGCAGATAAAAGAGATGTTGGGGTCTACTTCCTCTCAGCCTCGCAGCGCTTTCGGGTGCCTCGGGATGCTGACGTCTCCGTGGAAACCTCCTTACACCCACGCATGTTCCGAAGAAGCCCTAAACCCTAAACCCTAAACCCTACCACCCTACCACCCTACCACCCTACCACCCTACCACCCTACCACCCTACCACCCTACCACCCTACCACCCTACCACCCTACCACCCTCCACCCTACCACCCTACACCCTACACCCTACACCCTACACCCTACACCCTAAACCCTAAACCCTAAACCCTAAACCCTAAACCCCAGCCCACACAGCCTACAGTCGCGTCCAGCCCAGAAGAGGCATCAGGGAGTTGAGCGTGCGGCATGAAGGTGCTGCTGGCACGACCTGCCAGGTGGGACATGTGGGGTTGAAACATGCCGGTGCGGCTTGTGATCATCTGCATGCGGGTTTAGGGATTAGGGACTAGGGTTTAGGGTTTAGGGTCATGCAGATCCCTCGCAGCATGCTCGCGATCGCTCTCATTCTCTTGCAGCTGTAAGTGTCCCTCAGGACTCCAAAAAGACCCTGAACCTTTTTGGCCACGCGGGCGCACTGTGGTTGGCGCTGTGGTTGCTGGAATCCCGGCGCCCAGCGCCAGAAATCGCTGAGAGCGCAGAAAGTCGACCTGAGGATTTGCGACAACTACGACAGTTGTGAGCGAATCCTGCTGCCTGTTGCTTGCTGTTGGTTAGTAGGGAATGAGGGAATGAGGGTACCCTATATCCCCCTATCATATACCCTTTAGGGGATTATATAGGGTACCAGTACCTCATTCCCTCATTCCCTACTCACCAACAGTAAGGCTGCGGCCTGTCAATGCAGAACTGTTGGTTTGCGTCTTGTTACAAGGCTGCTGAACATTGGTTGGATTTGGGAGTCTTCTCCTCTGGTGAATGACTTTCTGTACATTTGAGTGCGAATGGCTCATTCTGCCTGTAACCCGGACATTGCATAGGCTGCTTGGACATTCTACACTGCCCCGTGCACTTATTGGAGTCTACGCGTTCCCGTTTAGACTGAGGCCTTGCATCGAAAACCACGAATGGTTCTTCAAAAAAGTATCCAACGACTCAAGGTCAGCCATACTTTCCCAACCGGAGGGTGTTTGCAAGCTTGCCATCTGCAAAGGAACGGCCGACTGAGGCAACTGATGCTATGTTATGAGGTACTCTACCCGCGGGCTTCTTACGCAGCACAGGAAAGAGCTCAGGACCATGCGGACAGCGGTGCTGCCGACGCTTGTGCGCCTGCAGGAAGACAATCTTTATGGTAAGACTTTGGGATGTTCCCGCTGAAAACTAACCGTCCTTAATAGGGATCATAATGGGGGGCGGGGGGAACCATAATCCCTGTTTAGGACCCTAAACCTGAATAAGGATCATAATAGGGGGGGGACTATAATCCCTACTAAGGACTGTTAGTGCAAGCTGGAAGATTGCTGGAACTTTAGGGGCTGTACTGCTGAGCCAAACAGGAGCTGTTGCAACAATGTCTCTCTCATCTATGTTGGTAGTTCCCAGATCTTGAAAACAGCCCCGCACGCAGCGAAACCGAGGTGACTGCGCCTGCTGCCGCTTAACCTGCAAGACTCAACAGGCAACTCTGTGAAGGCTGTCGTTTGGCTTGGAGGTCTCTCTCTAAAAGCACACGAGGCAAGGGTCTGAGATGTCGTCTCAAAGTTCGTGCGTGCTTTGACCCTAAACCCTAAACCCTAAACCCTAAACCCTGATCAAAATCACCCGGTCAATGTTTTCGAGAGCTCGCATTCCTGGTCCTGCAGTGCCCACATCCGAGCCAGCTCTTGGCCGCATGAGTCTTGTTCGGGGTTTAGGGTTGGGGCTTTTTGAACAACGAGCGAATTTATTTATTCCAAATTCTCCGAAGATTTTTCGTTATTCTCATACATTTTGCATCCGACACTCAGAAGGACTGACAGTTCTCCCTTCACGGGGGAGATTGACAAAACCTCGGCATCGCATACCGTTGTTGCCCTGAACCCTGAACCCTAAACACTAATAAACCCTAAACCCGTAACAACACTTCGGCCGAATAATGTAGGGAATCTCGGTGGAGCTCTTGCGGGCTTCTCTTGAGGAGGGTACTCCAAGGATACTTGGCGGACCTTTCTGAAAATCCTCCAGGGATACTCGGCGAAATTCTGCACTGGCTTCTCTGGACTCTGGAGGAGGGTACTCCAAGGATACTCGGAGGGTCTCTACTCCAGGGATACTCCGCAAGAACTTTTGTAAATGGGCACTCCATCTACGGCAATCTTAGGAGTGGGCACTCCAGGGATACTGCGGGATTCTCCGCAGGCTTTCTGGGGGCAGGCACTCCAGTAATACTCGGCGGGCTTACAAGCTCTTGGGATGCTCGGCGGGATTCGCTGCAGGCTTCTCGGGTACTCTCGGGATACTCTTCGGAGTTGTTTGGGGGCGACACTCGACGGAATTCTCTGCAGGCTTCTCTGGGGTGAGAACACTTCACGAGATACTCGGTGAGCTCCTCTGTGCGCGTCCCTGGGGGTCAGCACGCAGATATTCGGCGGGACTCTGTGGGGGTAGGCACTCCAGGGACCAGGGACAGCAAAAAATCAGGCGAGGAGCATGGTTGACTTATATAACTTAACAAATCCACACCCACGATGCGAAACAAAATTCCGGAACTCTCCGAGAAAAAGCCAGGAGTTCTAGGAGTCCTGGCTTTTTGCCCCCTTTTGGTGTTTGCCACAATACTGCATGAAACCTGTCGTGTCTTACATGCAGCCTTCATGGCATCGCATACCGTTCTTGCCCGACATGTCATGTCTAAGCGGCTGACGTTTTGCAGACCCCCGCAACAGCCGGCTTCCAGGGATGATTGCCTGCAATACACAGCATTGCAGCCCTGGACACAGCCCTAAACCCTAAACCCTAAACCCTAAACCCTAAACCCTAAACCCGGCCCACCACAAGCATGCACTTAAGCATGCCAGTCTGGCCCTGTCCGTGCACGTCAATGCCCTTGCAGCGCAGGCAGTTCACATCTCAGCTCTCGAGCTTTCGGGATGCCTGCATTCAATACTTGGGGGTTTAGGGTTTAGGGTTTAGGGTTTAGGGTTTAGGGTTTAGGATACTTGAGGTCCAGACCTTCACAGGTGTTCCTTTGCTAACAAGAGAATTACATTAGCGAAGGAAAAGACGACAGGAAAGGGACTTTACCTGATTACCCCAGTCTCATGGTCATTGTGGACTTAATTGTATTTCAGCCATTCGGAGGAGCTTTTCGTGATGGAGCCGCATGACTGTCCATAGCACTTCGCAATGAGATCACCACTTGTCTTTCGAGGGAGCTAGTGGCTAACTTGCAAAGCAGTCGACTGCTCCACAGCAACATGCCATACACCACGTACGACACAAGCTGATGCTTTTGTGCCAAACATCGCGATCTGTCCTCAAGTGTACCCCGAACCCCGAACAAAGTCTATGATTACACTCGGGATCAGCTTGGCAACTATGTGGGGGCTTCATCTTAGGGGTCCCCTTTTTTTTGCAAACCCCCAAATGAGCAACCATTGGTTCACTCCTCAGAATTCGGAGCCTCCGCCAAGTTCGGGCGGATGATGGCCGCATCCTGAGTCGAACTCCCATCTTCTTGTAAGGTGATTTGGGGGTTTCCGTTTTTAAAGGGGTCCCTTATGCGGGTTCTTATTCTAAGGGAATCCTACTATTAGGGCTTCCTCATTGTTGTAAGCCCCCATTTGCAAAACAGCTAATTATCCGGCCTGCAGCACAGACCACAAGCTACAGATCCGAAACGGTGTGAACTCCCTCGGGCTCCGTCCTCTGCGGCATCGCGGATGGCTTGCGCATTTGGGATGTAGCCCAGAGCCCTTCCATGTAATCAGAGTATATCGAGGCATCTGTCTGTTGAGACACACCCGCACACAGGACAGGTACAAGAGGATTGTATACTGAACACATTGTCACACACGCACAAGACTGCTGTCCTCAACACGCGATCCAACTGCTTCTGCATGTACCTCAGGCTGCTCAGGAATATCACCATTTGCCAGGGCTGCACAATCCGGCAGCAACTCAGCAAGGACAGAAAAACCTGAATTCTACCTAACCATCTCTGTCCACTGCCTAGACTGCACTGTTGCATGACACGAAAGACACGAGACCTGTAAAAACACACACACACACCCGCACATTTTTTAGACCACGCTAGCAGCACGCATTGAAAGAGAAACCGCCCACGCATGGCTCAGATGAGATTCAGATGCGCGGCACAGCTCCACCGATCGGGCGCTGCTTCTTCAACTCCCGCTTCACCATGGCAATCTGACACATGCTGACACCCTATCTCGGACTGACCTTATACCACACTACCCTGTGCACTCGATGCACCGGCACGCCGAAAACAAGCCGCAAACTCCTGGAACCGCCACTACGCAACTTTTGGTACAAGTCTCGGCCCTCTCATTTCGTGTAAGTAGCATTCCTGAACAAGGAGATGACGCGTGGAAGGTCTCTCACGTGAACCCCTCGAGATTGAAAAGCCATCTCGGTAAAGATGCCTAAGCCCTAAACCCTAGATCCTCAACCAGGTGGGGCATTGCCTCCTTCTCCTTCACCTTGCGCATGAATCCGAAGAACTCGCACTCCTCCAACATGCCTTTACCTTCTCAGGTTTGGGATGTTCCCCCCTTTTTTTCTATCAGTCCATTAAGGACTGCTAGTCATTATAAGAGGGAAGATCCCAACTTTGTAGCAAGGCCAGGAACTGCTCTCACTCGAAGCTCAAACTCTGAACTTACGAGCAGAAGTGTCGAGCCTTGAGAGTGCGTAGGCCTATTGCAAGTATACTAAGCAAGTCAACGTGAAAAGTTCGATTTGGTCCGGGGGATCTTTCAACTTCGGGTGACATCCATGGATCTGCATTACGAAAGCAGGGTGGTCAGTGCTGCAAGAAGAAGTCTGGGCGCATCAGTAGGATTCGCACACGGCTGCAGCTACAAGTACACTCTTTCCTTCCATTGCTGACGATGCTGAGCAAACTATGCGAAGAGGCATATTGCAGCCTAATTTTACTCCGCGAAAAAAATCAGATGAACAGCTGTGCCCTGCGAGCAGAACGTCCTAAGACAGCATGGGGGTTTCCGACAGGAGGGGTACACTTTTGGGGGTTGCTATAATAAGGACTATACAACTTTGGCGTATATTCAGGGTCCTTAAACCCTAAACCTAAACCCGAAACCCGAAACCCTAAACCCTAAACCCTAAACCCTAAATCCTAAACCCTTAACCCTAAACCCCCTGTTTTTGGAAATACCCGCATCATCGCAGCAGGGAAGTAAAGCAGTGCGGTGGCACCTCCTACGTCGCAGCTGTCAGAGATCAGCTGCACCTCCTGGCTACTATTGAATTAGGGTTCAGGGTTCAGGGTTTAGGGTTGAGGGTTGAGGGTTTAGGATCGTCGGAATTTTTTCGGATTTCTCACCTCCCCAACCTCCCCATGCCTTCCTCCAAAATGACACGCGACTTCTCCATGCGTCTTTTTTCCGTCTTGACCATAAGAAGGCATGTGCAGGCGGGGGCCTCTTGGGGCCGAAGCCCCCCTTCTCGGCTCGAACACTCTGGGTTTAGGGTTTAGGGTTTAGGGTTTGGGGTTTGGGGTTTGGGGTTTAGGGTTTCATCGCCCACTGATGCGAACATTTCCCCATGTTTGTTGTGAGGGGCTACAGCATCCGATCTCTAAGCCTGCTCTTGCTGAAGCTTGCCCAGTCCATAAAAGGCCTCCCGGCTTGCAGCCAGTAGCTGGTAAAGCCCGAACAAAGGCCCTAGAAGTTCCTAAACGTCCCTAAATAAGGGGGGTTTACGAAAATATAGGGGACCCCCAAATATAGATCCCCAAGTAGTAGGATCCCCTGATAATAAGGACCCCCAAGATGGCACCCCTATTTTTTCGGAAGCCCCAAATCGGATCTCAGACGGAACCGTCTCTGTGGCACTCCATCCAACGTCCCGGGCCTCTTTGGTCAGCCCGTAGCCAAGCCATGCCATCGCTTTGTGCAGCTCGCTTGTGTCCATCGTACCGCCCCTCCGCCATGGCCACACAGCGTTTAGGGTTTGGGGTTTAGGGTTTAGGGTCGGAAGTGTAGTGCAGTGTAGTGCAGCGTGAGCACACACACACACACAGCCTCCGCTATCCGAGGGCGACCATAAACCCTAGGGAGCAGGGTTTAGGGTTTAGGGTTTAGGGTTCAGGGTTTTGGGATGTCAGGGCGGTGCTGAGGCTCCTTCCATTCTTGACTGTCGTATTCCGATATTTGCAGGATGGGGCCAGGGATGGTCTACTTAAATCTACTTGAGGACATCTCAGGGCTGAGGGTTTAGGGTTTAGGGTTTAGGGGTTTATAGGGTTTATCTGGGGTTTAGGGTTCAGGCTTGAGGGCTTCGGGCTTAGGGGAGTCTACTGCTAGTCTACTTTGTTGTTGATTGTATCGTAGATGTCCAAGTTTGGTGCGTCTGTTGTAGTTTTCGTAGCTGGATAAGAGCTCTAGCGTCGCGACATGAAGGGCGAAGCCAAGTAGCCGGCCTATCCAAGTCGAACTTGCGAAACACCTCCTTTCCGGGAACTTCGCGCATGTGCTTAGACAGTGAGCATGCGTCGTGAATGGAAGATCTTGTACCCCTAAACCCTAAACCCTAAACCCTAAACCCTAAACCCCAAACCCTAAACCCTAAACCCTAACGCTTGGGGCTCCTTTCGAGTCCGGGAGATCGGCAGTGCCCAGTTCAGGGAAGTACGGTTGCGTACAACGGCCTGCTGTACATTTTGCAGCATAAAACATTTTGGGGTTTAGGGTTTAGGGAATTCCCTACACAACCTCATGCTTACCCAAACTCATCCGAGTCTCATGAACCTTGCAACGTGACGGGGAATCCTACGGCTGCGCCTTTTTCTTGAGGCATCTTGGGGGCATCTTCGTGCCATCCTCTCCCGGATATTATCCCTTGACGTCCTTGAGCTTGATGATCTCACGGGAGGAGAAGCCCTGGATCAGCATAGCTTGAAAGAAGCCGAGCGCACTGACATGTACCATCGTTCTCTGCTATTGGTCCACCTGTGAGGGGGCTCTTCAGTTCCCGTCCCGTACATCGCCTAGAGTCTAGAGTCCTGGAGCTGCGGAGAGAGTAACCAGAACTCGAGTTCTTAGGGTTTAGGGTTTAGGGTTTAGGGAGATTCTGTGCAGACGTGGCGGCTCGGCATGTTGCCAGGATCAGCGATTCGTTGTGTTGACAGGGGTGGGACTCGGCTGGGGCCCTCGAGTGAAGAGTGGACCCTATCCCCCCTACCCCCCCCCCCTATCCCCCTAACACCCCCCCCCCCCCAGGGAATGCATGGCGGAGTTTGAGAGCCTCTCAAGGTCGGAGCTACATTCACTTGACACGGCTGCCTCGTTGACGTGGATGATCTCGATAACCCGCCTTCAAGCGCGAACTGGAGGTTTTCAAGCCCGGGCCCCTGCGATGCCCTATACTACAGGGTTTAGGGTTTAGGGCTTTAGGGTTTGGGGTTTAGGGTGATTCATGAGAGTCTATTTTTCCATCTTCCGGGGTCTTGCATCTTGTTTTGTTTCTGGCTTCCTGCTGAGTTTGCTTGTGTCCCGGCACGCCCAGCACACCAGCAACATCTATTTTTCGATACGCTGCGATCGGTAGACACGTAATCACAGAAAGCCTCAAGACGTCCAAACACCTTGGCTCCCCAGAGTCTTTCAAAGCCCTAGAGACGCAGGTGCTGTGGTCACGCTTTCAACGCTCGGGGCCACAAAAGGACAGTCAGCGAAAAGGAAGAACCGGGAAAAAGGCTGCTTCACTCGAGGGATAAGCTTGGCCCAGTGCTTGAACTCATCCATTGTGATGGAGCCGGGGTCAACCGGTGCGACCTCGGCATCAGGTTTTTTAAAGGGCGTTTTTGCGCCCCACTCCCTCCTTCCCTCAATCCTCTTCTTTCAAGGCTTCAGGGCGCATACGCCCCCCACCCCACCCTCTCCCCCCCCTCCCACGGCCCTCACTCGGGCACTAAAGCGGCAGGATTCTTAGCAGGGATGCTCTGCGAGATTCTCTCTGGGATTAGGCACTCCGACTCTCTTCAGGATTCTCTGAACATGAAAGCTCCAGGGAGACTCTGCGGGATGCTCCGAAGCATCCTGAACCCTAAACCCTAAACCCTAAACCCCAAACCCCATACCCCCCACACAAATGGATGTTCACTGTGAACATCGTACAAAATCGTCACACAACCCCAGGCAGGTGTCAGACCTCGACCATGATCTCCTTGAGGACCTGTGAAGGTAGGACTTTAGGGCTTAGGGGTTTAATTCGGGGTTTGGGGTTTAGGGGTTTTAGGGTTTTAGGGTCTTAGGGTTTTAGGGTGATAGGGTTTAGGGGTTTAGGGGTTTAGGGTTTAGAGCTCTTGCCCACTTATGGGTGCTTTGCCGGGCTTGCTGAGGGGTTCGCCTGGTCCAGGGCCGTGATGCCACATTGCTCCAGCAGGTTGGCGAGCTCATGGGCCTTTCCATAAACCCTAAACCCTATTAGGGTTCAGGGTTTAGGGTTTAGGGTTTAGGGCCAGTTTAGGGTTTAGGGTATGGGGTTTAGGGTTTAGGGTTTCTCAACTGTCGAGGCATTGGCGCCAGCAAGAGAGTCAGACCAAAGCCGTGCCCGTTCCACCGTCAGAGAACCAGAGTGACAGAAGAGGATGCCATGCGATGATTATCTTAGATAGGCTCTGGGGCTTACACCTCTTGCACGTGGAACCCTAAACCCTAAACCCTAAACCCTAAACCATGTTGATGAATCTTGCTGTCGCGACGCTTAGCAGACTCATCTTGCCTCCAGTGTCCCGCTGCTGTCATCGTCGAAGTGCTCAAACACCGTGACAAATTCGGCGTAATGCCTCTCCTCGCCAGCATTGCTCTTTTTAGGGTTTTAGGGTTTAGGGTTTAGGGTTTAGGGTTTAGGGTTGAGGGCTCTTTCCCAAAGAGCCCAATATGGTGATATTGCTTAATTTATATAGGGATCCTTAATATGGTTTAAGGTATATTCCTTAATTAAGGGGTATTGGGTTCTTTGGGCTCAGCGAAGTACACGGCGGCATGCCATGAGAATGATAGTGACGCTTCTTGGACCACATCTTGGTCACGAGCAGCCCCTGGCAAAGCAGTCAGATGAAGTACATGAAGTACCTTCCTGCAACCGTCACTCCCCGATCCCATCGCATCCCATCGCACCCAAGATTCATCATTCCAATCATTCCGTGAGTACATGTGAGTACCGTCCTCGTACATCTGTAGCATTTGCATGAACTCGTCCACGTCGAGCGTGTTGAACCTGCCAGGCAATGGTAGGCTTGAGGCGACTGCACTGCGCGAGCCACAGCAAGGTCCAGGGTTTTTATGCAACGCACTGCAGCGGGGAATTCGAGGAAGGGTGCAGCACTTGCAGCTGGATCACGGCGGATAACGACGGGAGCCCGCGGCCTCGTAATCTGCTCCATCACCTGGCAGATCGCTTTTTCTCAGGAGGGTGAGCAGCTGGATGTTGGGTCACTCTACACATTGCTAAGGGAATCCTGATGACGCAACGCATGTACAACATTTGACATCCGACAAGACCCTAAAAAGAATGCACTGCGGCCACGTAAGCTGAGTCCAAGGGGTTGAGAAGTGCAAAGTTCGGTGGGTTCCCCCATACTACCCCCTCTATGCTACACCTGAAAAAAAAATCCTCGGTTCTAGTCTTGACGAGGGCAGCCCGAAACCCTAAACTCTAAACCCTACACCCTAAACCATAAGCCAGGGAAATCCATGAAAGTCCACCGAGGCCCCGAGTCGTGGGTTTAGGGGTGTAAGGGTTTAAGGGTTTCAGGGTCTTAGGGTTTAAGGGTTTTAGGGTTTGTTTGATCTCTTGCTGGCGCTCTTGCCTGTCGCGACGTGGCAGTCCCAACGCCCCACCCTGAACCCTAAACCCCAAACCCCAAACCCTAAGCCCTGAACCCCAAACCCTAAACCCTAAACCCTAAACCCTAAACCAGTGCCACCTCCGCCAGCCAGGCTTCGCGCAGGATCGTGAAGCCAGCAAGCTCCAGGGCTTGCAGCAGACAGTCGCAGTGCACCTCATGGGGGGTTTAGGGTTTAGGGTTTAGGGTTTAGGGTTTAGGGTTTAGGGTTTAGGGTTTAGTCTCAGGTCTTGGATTCAACGCTGGAAGATGTACAGCTATTTTCATACATGTTTCGCAGCCTCTCGCCACCTCCTACACTATCCTACACCATTGTCGGTAATGCTAGACACCTGCTTTCGTTCTATCCGAAACCGTGGTCTCTGTCCTTTTAAAGAGGCAACATGCAACCGCTTTGCAACCATTGCTCGCGGCCCCGTTTTTGGACGTTGAGAATATTGATCCCTGAGAACTTGAAAAAAGGAATGCAGCACAGCAATTCCGCGTGGGCAAAAAAGCGGCAGCTCCTTCGGAGCTGGCGCAGGTTTAGAGGGAGAACATGTTCTGTACACCCAGCTGCGGCAGATCCGGGCAGCGCGCATCAAAGATGCGTCACAGGAACCAGTCTCTGCTGCACAAGCATAACCCTATGCGCTGGGCTGTTTTGGGAACTTGTCGTTGGCTTTCAATAGCCGTCGGCATGCAGAGAGGCTGTCTGAGATAAATTTCCATGAGCAGACGAAGACAGCCACCACTGTGGTGATACCTGTGCGAATCGGAGCATCGGGGGCGAAGGAGGCAAGTGGCGGGCAACAGACCGATAGAATTCCAGGAAACGCTCCGAGATGCTAGCATGGCAGGCGGCGGCCTTCAGGCTATGCCGGTAGGACAGCTCACCTCGGACACCACTGATACCGATTTTATCTGCACAAAATCAAGTCTGAGCATGCTTCTGCATCTGTATGTCTATGCCCAACCTTGACCTCTCGCAACCCGAGATTTTCTGACATGTTGGACATCGTACCTCCCAGCCCCATACCCTTTCCCTTGCAGTTTCTGCGGCCTGTGTAGCTTCCAAGAAGGAAGAATCCAGACCACGAGGTGTAGATCAGGACGGTTTGCCTCAGGTGCCGGGAAACAAAGACATGTGCGCACATCACGGTTTCGGAACGAGAGCATGCTGACCCCACATGAGCTCTCACCAAGTTGCAAGTAGTCGATCAAGCCAGGGCGTCTTGCCACAGCGAACCGATCACAAAGGTAGTACAGCAGCTTGATGCTCACCAGTGAACAACAGACACCGATGGAATAGGCGTGGCCAAGTAAGGAAGACAAAACCTCAAGCTCGAAAGGTACAGTAGCACAGCCGCTTTCAAAGATCACTACGGTATACTACGGTTGGTTGGGGGCTTCGCGGGGCGGGGCTAACTTTCTTAGATGCGGCACCACATCCACCGGTGCCCCAGCGCTCCATAGTCCGATAGTCTCATCAATTGTGGCACTGACCGGAGCAGTCACAAGGAGCAAGCAGTATGCCAGTGGCACATCCACTGTCTTCGTAGAATTGCCGGAGATCTCATTGAACAGTGGTCCTTGAACAAAGCGCTCAAACTCTTCTGCGCTGCCGTACCACCTGTGGATGGCCGAGGTTACGAAGATGTAGTCAAACGGCTCGCTGCATTCGGCCGATGCGAGCTTGAACTGTTTGAGATCTTCATACAGCTTGTGCTTCTCCCGAAACAATCGCCGGAGGCCATGAACAAAACCCAGGAGTGGAAGCAAGGCAACGCCAATAGGAAGGGCCTCGCCGAGGAGGTAGCCATAGTTGGGAAGTCCGGCTGCCAACGACAAGCTGTAGCACCAGGAGGCGGCCCAGAACGCGGGTGCGAGGATGAAAACCGAATGCTCGATGAAGATCGGTGCAAGGGAGATTTTCCTCGCGCATCAGAAGAAACTAAGAGAACACTCACGCTGCCTAATGTTCGCCATGCTACCATGCTCTGGTAGAAACATGGGAGGCTTGCCGATGCCACCGCAGCTTCAAGAACCAACGGTAGTTCTAGTTGATTCCTGTGGGGTTCAGAATGGCACCGATCGAAATCTGAATCGCAGGAGTATGACCAGAAGAAACTAGAAACCAGCCGTGCGATCGCAGTACATCCAAATTAGTCACCGGCAGCAAGACTGTCGGCTGAGGATCTATGCTTGCAGGATATGGGGGTTTCCGACATTCCGGAGTACCTTATTGGGGGTCCCTATTATAAGGGAATCCTACTATTTAGGGTGTCTAGATGTGGGGTCCCTTGTCTTCGTTAACCTCCATATTCCATATTAATATGAAGGGTTTCGGGACGAAAGAAACAGCTTGCATCACAGAGTTCCCAGTTGGGTTCGCCACACGATAGGCTGCCAGCTCAAAAACACCTAAGTGGACGGACATGCTATGCTTAGGGTTTAGGGTTTAGGGTTTAGGGCTTAGGGCTTAGGGCTTAGGGCTTAGGGCTTAGGGCTTAGGGCTTAGGGCTTAGGGCTTAGGGCTTAGGGCCTTAGGGTTTAGGGTTTAGGGCTTAGGGCTTTGGGTTTTGGGTTATGCTACGTTCGCGGGATGAAACGTGGAACATATGGGGTTTCTCGAAATTAGGGCGTACCTTATTGGGGTCCTTTTAATAAAGGGATCCTACTATTTGGGGTCTATATTAGGGGTCCCTTATTTTCGTCAACACCCATATAACATGATTCGGCAAGAGATCTACCTTCCGGAGGTCCGGCCAGCCCAAGTAGTTTTGCAAGCTAGCCACCTGACGTGCGAATGCAATTCCAGGTGCTAACTTCCTGCAACCCAGAACAGGACTTGGAGCAACTGGGCCTCTGAATACAACATTTTGACTCCCTCACCTTTCTACAACACTCCTTATCGACTCGCTCAGCGATTAAGGCAAGGTGCACCACAGCCGTGTAAGGTAGGGAGGAGTCCACAGAACTCGTAGCTCTTCTGCCTTGGTTTGCGGAATCCTAGGCCCTGCGGCTTGAGATGCTCCCCCTTCAACTAACAGTCTTTCATAGGGATTAATAGTACCCCCTATTAATAGCACCCCCTACTATACTCCCTAAAAAGAACTGTTTGTATAAGGGGGAACATCCCAAGCATGCAAACAAAGGGAAAAGCGGGAGGCGATGTGGACCGATTGCAGCGATTGAAATGAAATCGCGAGTCAAGATGCGGAGAAGCTTTCCCACGCATCTTGAACTTGTGGCCCGATTGAATTTCGATTCAGTCGGGTTTTGTCGGCTTAGACGCACAAACTGATTGAACTTGCAGTCAGCTTCCCCGGGCTTCAATCGCACAGCAACAAGCCATGATCCTCAATTCAAGTGTTTAACAGTAACGCCTCATATGATGTCGACACGGCATGTTACCTCGAGTCGCACCTATGAAATATGAAAACTCAGTTTGAGAGGGGGGCAGGGGCGGGAGGTACGTCGAGAAAGCATGTCGATCCAGAAACGAAACGTTCCCCCGGCGCTTCTCGTTTTTCAGGGCTACGTTTCCGGCCTCATTCCCAACAAAGCCCACTTGCGTCACCACGCTGTGAAACACACACTTTGCACGCACGGTGTGCTTTAGAGGAGAACTGCTGCAGCATGCGAGTTCGGAGGTTACCATGTGCATTAAACAAGACAAGACATCGTGCTTCCGAGAGACATGCATACCACGCAGCACACGCTCGATCTAGGATTCTGCTAGAGTACAGTACACACTAAGCATCACCAAGGTTAGCATTAACTCACACCACCCTGATACATGGGACGGGAGGTTGCTGAGAAACGCAGGCTTATGGCCCAGAGAAGTTACATGCCGCAGGAAGCCACCAATGCCGTATATGCCACGCTCCTTCAGTGCTTCGTCTGCTTGATGAATGCACGCGATATCCTGAGAGTGACCACATGGAGTCTGTGAGTGGGGCGAGTTTGAACAACCAAGATATAAAAGAAAAAGCTCAGCACCAACAGGGGTGCACCACACCTGGCCGAACTGGGATTGGATGATTGGATTGCCCAGGTCGAGGTTTGGGAGTTAAGCTTGAGAAGTGTGCAGGATTTGCTTGTAGCGGGGCATCCAGTTGATGTAGCTACACTTCGTTGAGGCTCTCATGTTCCAATACTCTGACTGTTCGTGCAATGCAGGCAAGCATCCACGAAGCATGTCTCCTCCTTGCTAAGCCGGCAGCATTTCGGAAAATACGGAGTGCAGAAGAGACCCATGAGCAGCGCCAAGGGGCCAGCAATCAGCAGCCATGGCGCAAGCGGGTACTCTGCATCGAAGCTTATCACGGGCTTGTCCAGTTTGAAAGGCTGGGGCACATCCGGAAACACTACTTGCACAAATACAATGGCGAAGAGTGAAAAAAGCCAGAAAGACAATGCGGTCTGCCAGCCGCATCTGAGCATAAGTGCCAGGACCTTCAACGAACCAGAGCTCTTCCACGTGTGGGAGATGAACACATTGTACGTCTGAACTCGATGCAAGCATTCCCACTGTCGTTGCCACGTCCCTTCAGGGACGCGCAGCGCGCTCTTTCGCCACATCCAGCCCAGCCCTTTCAAAGTGCTCCGAAGTGACACGCCACGAAGTAGGTCATCCTCAACTTGAAGGTAAGGGCCCGCGTGCTGCATCAGCTCGCTGATTCTGTATTCCAGAATGGCCAAAGCCTTGGGTTGTGGCCCCCTCGGCTCTCGTGGACTGATGCTGCCAGCAATGCTTCCAAGATCATCGCTTTCACCTATTTCTGCGCACTCAGGCTCGTCTTGCAGGGCAAACCTTGATGCAGTCCATTGCATGTCCTCGTTCTCGGTCGCCTCGCAGATACATTCCCCACACCAGTGCTGAAAGGGAGCACCCATCTTAGAACACCAAGCTGCGTGGGGACTGCTCGCTTTGGCTTGAGCATCTTCAGCGCAAGCAGCGTTGATGCACTATATCAGCCCTCCACGACTGCAACGTCACAATGACACAGTTTCGGGTTTAGTTTAGGGCCTTAGTATATGACGAGGTTGAAACAACTTTCATGGGAGCTTACGAAGATATGGGACCCTTAATATAGACCCCCAAATAGAGGATTTCCTTAGAAGAAGGACCCCAATATTTCGGAAACCCCCCAAAAGCTGAAAAGCCTGGCGTACTCCGGCCTCTCCCTGGTTTTGCAGTCTTCGAAAGGCAGATTCCCACCTCCCGGGCCAACTTTGAGAAGCAGCTGTCGCATTCTCAGGTAGCTCTCGAAAACTCCCAACACAAGCCCTAAGCATCCCTAAACCACGCATTCAGGTGGAATCCTGCTAAACCCTAAACCCCACACCCTAAACCCTAAACCCTAAAACCCTAACTACTCTCACTGTGCAACTGCAGCCATCTGTCAGCTGCATCGGGTTCGCATTTTGTCCAGGCCTCTTCATTTGCCTGGTCTTTGCAGCCTGCTCAACAACAGGCATCTTCGCGCAAAGCCATCCAAAGCAACCCTAAACCCTAAACCCTAACCCTAAATCCTAAACCCTAAACCCTAAACTTTGACCACCCCTCTCTGCTTGAACCCTCTGGAATTTCTGGCAGTGCTTTCGGACACCAAATTCGACGTATGATTTTCGCCAGCCCTCCACGCCTTCCCGGATCTTGGGGGGGGGGGGGGGGGCGATGAAATCTGATATTGGGTTTAGGGTTTAGGGTTTAGGGTTTAGGGTTTACGGTTTAGGGTTTAGGCTTTCTGACCACCGCTAGCTTTCGTGACTTAGTAAACGCAGCGAGCAAGGACAAAATCGTGTGGTGCGGACGGCGAAGGCATCATGAGTGCGCCCGTGCCATGGTCAACGCACTCAACGGCCTTGATGGTTCAGGGTTTAGAGTGTAGAGTTTAGGGTTTAGGGCCGACCGTCCCAAAACGCGGGTTTCAAGGCAGGGCAAGGCTGTGGGGTCTTGCTGTTCTTTTGTCACCTGTAACCAGCCATCGGCAAAACCACAGCTGACTGGCTGGCGCCGACACGGTGATTCTGATGAGGCAGGGCACCCTAAACCTAAACCCTAAACCCTAAAACCCTAAACCCTAAACCCGAAACCCTAAACCCTGCCCTTTGAAACTTCAGGTGCCAGATGGGGGTTTCGTGACCCGAATTATAGACTCCCAAATAGCAGGATCCCTTTGCAAGAGGGACCCCAATGAAGTACCCCCGATTTTCGGAAACCCCCAGATGGAACCAGAGAGGTGCAAGGTGCCCCCCCTAAACCCTAAACCCTAAACCCTAAACCCTAAACCCTAAACCCTAAACCCTAAACCCTAAACTTCGCGCCTCTGTGCTGTGAGGACTGACCACCGGCCTCAGCCAAACACCCGGCACTGCAGCTTGCGGGTTCCCTGCTGGTCCTTCGTACACATCTCAAAAGTAGGGTTTAGGGTTTAGGGTTTAGGGCTTAGGGTTTAGGGTTTAGGGTTTAGGGTTGAGGGTTGAGGGTTTAGGGTTTAAGTGCCAACCCCCAGCAAATCGGAAGTCTCCTACTTATCGCTGAAGCCCACATTGCAAGTGTGATCAGCCGGCACTGAGTCATCGACGCAGCCTGTCAAATGTGGGACCCGAAAGCTGTGCCAAGTTTGTCGGGCAGAGGCATGCAGCGGATCGGCACATGAAAGGGGATATACAAGAGGCAGGGCGTACAGCATTCTTGCGACTCGCCTGTCCAAGACTTGCTTCAAGCTGCCAGCTCTATTCGTTGCGACGAACATGTGCTCCAGATGGCCGCGGGTTCTGTTAAGTTTCCATCCTCGCCGATACTCTTTAAGCCGCTAAAACTTTGGACTGTCAAGTCCAACAGCCAAAGGACTGCCCTAAACCCTAAACCCTAAACCCGAAACCCTAAACCCTAAACCCTAAACCCTGGAAGGATTTCACCGGTTGCACGGCTGCACCTTGGGGACGAACAGTTCTGGATCCAGAACAGGCGTAATCCTGGCCAGGCTCGTGGGTTGATGGCACCTATGCGATTTCCTGCATCAACTGACCCGCTGCCATCTCTGATGCGCGCTCTGATGATCCATGATCCCTAAACCCTAAACCCTAAACCCTAAACCCTAAACCCTAAACCCTAAACCCTAAACCCTAAACCCCACCGACGAAAACCAAAATTCCTTGCGGCCTTGCCTTTCTGGGAATGGAGGGTCGTTTTTAGACGAGCCGTCGCTCCGGTGTGACAGCTCACCTCGGTAGATGTGCAACGGTAGATGCGCAAGGGGTTTAGGGTTTAGGGTTTAGGGTTTAGGGTTTAGGGTTTAGGGTTTAGGGTAATAAGCACGTGCTGGGTGGTTGGTAACCTGTTTCAGCTACATAGCGCCAAGAGCGTACATTCAAAGCATGCCGACATCTTGCGTGACATCCAAGTGAGACAGCAGCCAAAACCCTAAACCCTAAACCCTAAACCCTAAACCCGGTGCCCCAGTCATAACGGAGCTGCAGCTTACAGATCAGATCCAGGGTAGACGCGGATGCTACCGCTGCTTCGGCACCACTTTGACTAAATCTTTCCAACTAGGCACGTGCGCTCAACCTCAGTGCTCAACATATGGTGACTCTTCTAAGTTGGGGTCAGTCCTTTTTGGGGTCCTTATTCTAAGGCGGCTCCTAGCTTTAGGGTACCCAAAACGGGATCATCATTTTGAGAACTGAGCATATCTCAACCATTCACGAATCAGCATGTATGTGCGAGCACTGCGCGTACTCGACAGCACTCACCCGCCCTCCTCCACCCGCCAGTTATACATTTCGGGTCGAAACAGTACTGCCCAAGCCTCCCCACTTGAAGAGTGGTTTGCACCAAGCCCATAGATCTTGGCTTCTACTGGCACCACCCACACTAACGAGCGACCAGCCACAGCAACCAGAACAACAATTCCGTGCGACGTCAGTTTCACTGCACATGAAAAGCCAACGAGCGAGCAGTTGCCCTGAGCAGTTCCCGAAGCAATCCCCCGAACAAAACCAACCTAGCCATAGTTGGACACCCTGCAACTATACTCCCCTTAGAACCTTACAAAAAACAATATTTTTAATATCCTCTTGGGTTTTATATAAACAACAAGAAAACAGAACAATTCCCAAGGGGGATATAGGCAAGGGCCTGGAGCAAGTCCAGACTGTCACTGCTTGCGGGACAAAGACAGGAAAGCCTGAACTATACTGAACTTGGAACCCAAGCAAAAAGTATTTTTGCTGTTTCTTAGGAATTATAGTGCCCAAAACTTAAAAATATCTCCAAGTACCCCTAAGTGAAGACGTCTCTCTTGGCAGCCGTGCGGAGGGCATCAAGGTTGTCCTTCCAAAGCAGGAAGGGAAGTGCCAGTGACCATCCAAGGTATTCCAAGGCTATGGTGCATCTCGTCCTATCCATAATGATATTTCTACACTTGATGCGGGACAAGTGATTTGCTTTCTTTCTTGGGGGGTTGGGGGGTGGGGTGGGGGGGGTGGGGTGGGGGGGTTGGATTCTGAAAGATGGCAACATGCACTCATCTGCTTACGGCGACGGCGCTTGCTGCTGCGCCCCCCCCCCCCCCCATTGCTGTGTGGTATACTGCTGCTGCACTCAGAAGCATCCTCTTACTATGCAGGAGCTGCTGCAACTGCGTGTACTGGAGGATCCAGCATGCGTATGCTCAGAAGGCAATAGGTCTCAGCCGAGTCCTTGTCTGCGTCGGTTTCCTCCTCATCCATCCTTGCTACATCTGAGAACAGCAAGTGGCCGAACAAAGCTAGCTCTGGCTCTGGCACAACACTCGTCGAAGCGCAGCTAGAACTACGGCTACACCCTGAGGCTGGCCAATCTGCACAACAGAACGAGAACTGACGGAGAGATTTCCTCCCAACCCCTTTCATACGAATTCTTCTCGCGGCAGTACTTCAAGCTGAACAAGCGTCGCGTAGATCAGCTAGTAATGCCTCAACAAAGAAACCCGTTCGGGCCTCAGTGATGCATCAGCTTTGTGTGCCGCGTCCACATGCTCCTGGGTTTAAGCAAGTCGCGGGGTGCGGATGGTTGTGGAGTATATGGGCCGAAGCACATTGTTTGGGAACTTTGGTGGAATGAGTTGGGTCGGACGTAAATTGAATAAGGGACTTTGCTCTCTTTAACCCGAAACCCTAAACCTTAAACCCTACACCTGAACCCTAAACCCTTGAATTTGCAGGTTGACGCGGTCAACTGGACAGAGCCTGCATGTAGACATTGTTCAACTCTGAGCCCCCGTGGTTCGCCCTTAGGCTCTGAAACCACGAAAGCACCATACAAATCCATTGCACATCGTCTCTGGGGCAGGTTCGGGGGCCCTGTTAAAATCTTCGTTTTATTTCTTAAAAAGGATGATATAGGGGACTAAGGGTAAAAACAAAAAAGAATGATGTTCAAGCCTACCCCTGTTGAATGGCAGTGTCGTTGAGTAGCCAGCCGGCGCTTGGTACAAGCCTTCTTGGACGCGTCTGGCCACGACGGCCCGAACCTGGGGTGTTTTTTGGGGGTATTACGCCGAAACCCTAAACCGTAAACCCTAAACCCTAAACCTTAAACCCTACACCCAGGTCTAACAGTCGAACCACAAAGACCAGCAGGGTGCCTGGGACATCTTTGACTCACCGTCTTGACTCCACACGACTAACGGCCACAAGCCTGAAGCTGGTTGCACCATACTCTCAAGCCTAAACACTTTCGTCTACGTCCTGGGATGCACGCGTTGGACAAGTTCATCCGCAGCTGCCGCATGGCGGGCGAGTACATCTTCTCAAGCCTGCCCAGGGTGGAGTATCCCAAGATGTCCGAGTCTGCATGCTTGTCCCGACACAGCGCATCTTGAGACCATTTAATCGACCAGTTTACAAGCCCGTTAAACCTGCTTGTACTGAGTTTTATATCAGATTCTTACACTAAGAACCCTGTACCCTCTTAAACAACACTCCCAGACCCTAAACCCGAAACCCTAAACCCTAAACCTTAAACCCTAAACCCTAAAAGCTGCCTTGCTTGGGCGCCCCTGAGCCGCTCCTTCGCGGTGAGAGGCGCTGGCCTGGAGAAGTGGGAGTGGCCTGGGGCCTTTCCGGGGGAGTTTGGGGGTTTAGGGTTTCTATAGGGTTTAGGGTTTAGGGTTTAGGGTTTAGGGTTTGGGGTTTAGGGTTTAGGATTTAGGGTTCACATGCTAGCATGTGTTGGCGTGGTTCGGTGCACTCCGCAGCCTCTCAGCAGCAGTCCAGCTGCCACCTCGCCACGTTGGGGCGCAGGATCCGGGAATCACTACAACGCAACGCATCCCTTGGGATGTTCCCCCATATGGGTTTAGGGTTCAGGGTTTAGGGCCTTAGGCCTTAGGCCTTAGGCCTTAGGCCTTAGGCCTTAGGGTTTAGGGTTTAGGGTTTAGGGTTTAGGGTTTCGGGTTTCGGGTTTAGGGTTTAGGCCTTAGGGTTTAGGGTTTAGGGTATAGGGTACTTCACGGGTTGGCATCTTCCCCCTTGTACTAGCAGCTCCTGAAGAGGGATGACAATCCCTGTTAAGGACTGTTAGTACAGGCGGGAACATTTAGGGTTTAGGGTTTAGGGTTTAGGGTTTAGGGCTTAGGGTTTAGGGTTTAGGGTTTAGGGTTTAGGGTTTAGGGTTTAGGGTTTAGGGTTTAGGGTCCCAACGTACCCCTAAGCTCAGGCAGTCGCAGCGAGATCCCATTGAAGGACAACTTTGGCTGGACAGTGGCCGTGGCTTCGGCAATCCTGAGGGGCGGCAAAACAGGCGCTGCGTTTGGGGTTAGAAAAGCCCAGTTGAGTTGGGGGGGGGGGGGGTTCCGAAAAGAGGGGGCCCCCAATATAGACCACCAAATAGTAGGATTCCCTTGGTCCCGTAAGAAGGACCCCAATAAGGTACCCCTAATTTCGGAAACCCCCAATTGCTACGACAACGGCTACAACAAGACGCCAAGCGCCGGGCGCCAGGGAGAAAGGTTCTTCGCTGACGGGTACACACACCTCACTGGGCGGCTCATCAGAGTAGGAGGCTCCTCCCTGAAAACATCTCCCTCTGTCCGCCTCGGAGCCCGCGCTCGTGTTGAGCCATTTCTGTACTTCTGTATGACGCGCACAGCATCGGGAAAGATACGTAAAGGTACGAACCAAGTAATGGTGATACGGAGAGGTCTCTTTGTTTGAGAGCATGTAACCCGAAAGCTCAATGCGGGATAACTCCAAAAATCGAGGCATCGTCCTCTGCTTGTTCGCCGCTGGGCGCGCAATTGATGCCGAAGAAGGACCTAAGCTACAACTGCAGGCTATCTGTGCATGTAACTGCGATGATGGCAGCTGCTTCGGCAAGTTGGCTGTGGGGGTCTGGTGCACTGCTTCAGCGAAAGTAAGCTGCGGAGCACTTACAGAACCAGCGCATCTATCAATATTTATGGTTCTATATTGGCAGAGATTGATTTTAAAAGATGTTCGTTTCTGCGCCCCTCTGCGAAGATATCCGTCGGAGCACGCTGTGTTGATCTTGCTAAGCATACCGCTGCAGCTCGGGCATGTTGCACACAATGTGGCGCAAAGCCAGTTCGAAGAGATCGCCAAAGATCGGCAAAAAAACAACCCTAAACCCTAAACCCTAAACCCTAAACCCTAAGCCTCTGAGGGCAGCACGCTGTGCCCCCGGACCCGCGGCACAGCCATCCTTGTCTAAACTCCCCTTAGAACCTTAATAAAAATAATATGTTTAATATTCTCTTGAATTTTATAGTGGCTTTATATAAAAAAAAAAACTCCCAGGAGGGATAATATAGTGAAAGGCTCAGGATCAACTCTACTGACTCTACTGGCTTCCAGGAGCTTAAAAGCCCATAGGCACTGATCAGGAAGGACCTCACCACATATCTGGCTTGAATATGCTTGGGGGGCTCACACAACGAGATGGGGATCAGCTGGGAACCAGCTGGGAGTCAGATGCGAGTCAGATGGGAATCCGCCCCCAAAACTTGCAACTGCACAAGTCGGGTGCAGGAAGTAGCCCTGGCCTCCTGCCCGCAGCGCCTCCTGCTGAAGCGAGGTTGAATAGGGTTCAGGGTTTAAGGTTTAGGGTTTAGGGTTTAGGGTTTAGGGTTTAGGGTTTAGGGTTTAGGGTTTAGGGTTTAGGGTTTAGGGTTTAGGGTTTAGGGTTTAGGGTTATCATTCAGGTATAGACACCTGGTCGCCCCGATGGTGCGAATGTGAGATAGACTCAGACTCAGACGCATCCGCGGGATGCGGCAGTCAAAGTGCCCAGGTTACAGGTTGCCAAGCACGACTTCGCGCACCTCCGGTTTAGGGTTTAGGGTTTGGGGTTTGGGGTTTAGGGTTTAGAGTTTACGGTTTAGGGTTATCCCTGAAGTCTCCTGTGTCCAGCTTGACTTGCAGGCGTGGTGCATGCGCCTGGCAGCGTGGCGCGTATTGCAGCAATGCCCACCCCCCACCCCTACCAAGACAGGGCCCTGCCAAGATGGGGAAATACCTTTCAATTTCAAGATCCTTCGAGAGCTCATCGGGTCTCAATCGGGCTTTTACCGGGAAAATTCAGGGGGGCCTCACCTCTCAAATCCTTGAAACCCTTGCTTGAGAGGTCTGGTTTAAGAAGGCGTCCAGCTTGCTGCATCGAGACAAGCCTTGAGAATGTAAAGGATTCATTCTGATTAGGTTTGGGTGCGAGTCCACACGAACTGATATTTGGGGTTTAGTTTAGGGTTAGGGCACGGCGCCCCAAGGCAACTTCATACACAGCTTTAGTCCCTACAAGGTCGATCTTCCCAGCTGTCAGCCTTTGCAAGGGGCTGAGGAAGGCCGCATGGGGAAGGGAGCCACATAATCGCCTGAGCGATTGGCTTGCGTTTCCCAAGTCGAAGCTGCACGCTGCGCAAAAATGAGTTGAGGGAGGGGGGAGGGGGGGAGAGGGGAGAGAAGAGGGGAGAGACGGGGAGAGGGCCGCGCAGACTTCCGCAAGATCCACGTCAACATTATGAGTCCACAAGTCAAGGTAGTTCAAGCAAGCGACAACGTCAACCAGGGCAACTCGGGCCTAGGGACTAGGGCGCCCGCGCGCCCGCGCGACCTTCTGCTGCGAAGTTTGAAGGCAACCCCCCGACGTCCAGCCCCCCAAAAGCCTCCCTCTCCGAGATCCGAGCCCAGGGGGCCCACAGGAGCCATCTTGGACGTCAAGGCCCATGCTTGGGGGGCCGGCGGGATGGCAGCTAGGTTAGGAGGTGTTGGGTAGGCTGGGTGGGCTGGGTTTGGGTAGGTTAAGTAGGAAAGGCAAGGCCGTCAGACACACAGGCAGGTCTTCCGAATTGCTGGTCCGTAGTGGTAGGCTCCCATAGCACGATGCTGTTCTATGCCGTGCTTCGTTGCACAAGATCATGGCATTGCTGGGACCTCTCGGCCGAAACAGGAAGGCGTCCATGCATTGTGATGTATGCATTGGAAGCTTGGACATACCTCGATCCGAAATCAAAATCCCAAACGGAGACGCTGAAGATGTACCTAGGATACCTCGACATCCTAGATCCGATCTCAAATGTCCAAATTCAGGTGGGGTCGTATTATCTGGCACAGGCTTGTGCAAGACACTTGCGGCGACCAACTCATCATGTACAACTGGCGACCTTCCAAACCATTCCTCGCATGTATAGCCTATATAGGGCCTATCTTCTGGCCACCCCCCTCTCACAACCCCCATGAGTTTCACAGAGCCTCCTAACGGCGAGTGGCTCTTTGTGCGCCGACTGAAAAGGGCCATCAAAAGGCAACTCAGCCAACTTCAGGGATCCAGCACGTGGCTCCCAGATGTGTAGGCTGCGCTGTTTCCAGGCTCCATGATCAGCCCACACGCTTACACAGGGGTTAGGTTATGGTAGGTTTGGGGGCCATACAAAAGTTAAACTTGTATGGTTTTTTATTCAAGCACTGGAAACGACATGCAATCGCAAATGCACTTTGTTGAATTCCGACTGCAGTTTAGCTATCTCAGCTCTTCTTATGGAACTAGGTTGTCTCAAGACGTAAACCTTTTCGCAAATTCAACTCTGAACCTCGTGCATCCTCATACCCGAATCTTCCACGTGCATCCCGGTCAATCTCCGTCCTGTGCAAGCCGCATGTCTTAGGCAGTAATGATGCACTCCCGACAGAGATCTTGCAGCATCACAAGGGAACTGGCTTTGCACGCCTGGCCAGGGTAAGGAAGAATCTCGTATTTTGTGGCGGGACCGTGTGTGAGCCCAGGCTACTACACGCGGTCTTTTGTCAGGACGCCCTGGCTCCTTCATGTGGCAAATGGGTTCGGTCAGGTTGACGACCAGATGTTTGGGCCTCCTTCGTCGTGCATGCAGGAACTGATATCAGATCATCATCTTAGCACATCTTATCATGCCATTTCGTAGGTGTGATATCAAATGACTCTCTGCATTATAGGTTGTTATAAGGTCCACTATAGACTCTAGGTCCCGCTCCGCACGCTTCACCCTCAACCACCCCAATCCCCTTGACCCCCAATCATGCTAGAAGCATTTGCGAACCACACACATGCATTGGGATGCTCCCCCTCATACCTAACAGTCCTTAGTAGGGATTACATAAGGGGGGGGGGGGGGGGTACTATAATCCCCAGTAAGGACTGTGAGCCTAAGGGGGAACATCCCAGTGCACAAGTCATAAGCCACTGTGGCAACCTCAACTTTGCCTTCCAGAAGTCCCTTCTTAGTGGTGCCTCCGGCCGGGGATGCCGGCACTCCTTGGCCGACGGTCCATGGGAGGAACCTCCAGCCTGAAGCAGGGAGCTCGTCCATGAGTTTGCTGGCAACATGGGGGTTTAATCTGGGGTCCCCGACTGGGGTCCTTATGAAAAAGGGGATCCTACTATGTGGGGGGGTCGATGTTAGGGTTTCCTTATGATCGTACACCCCCACATCTTGCGCAACTTACGCTCTGGGCTTGAGGGTTGGTTGGATTGGAAGGGCCAGTTTGCAAACCTCGTTCTTCTATGTTACATCATTGCACATCGGCAGAAAAACTAAGCTGATTTCAGAATTTGGTAGTCATATCTGAGTTCAGCTCCGGTTGTAGAGTGCTTTCTTGAGTGCTTCGCCTTGTTGACCTGTTGAAATCATGCAAGAACATGTTCTCAGCACCAAACCACTACGACAATCAAAAAACATAGGGCCGCGCTGAGACAAGCGAGTGGGATTGCTGATGACTGCTACTTAGACTCCTAAACCCTAAACCCTAAACCCTAAACCCTAATCCTAGATGATCAAATAAGTCTTGAAGCCAAGTGACAACCATAGCCGATCCTCGGCACCTGACTCTTCTCTCATGGTAAGGGGAGCACTTCCACGCACTTCCCACATGCGCATCGTTGAGGCCTTCGGGATTTCATGGCATGTCCAAGCAGTTGTTGAGGGCGGCACAGCTTCCTCCAAAGGACAAAGCCGGATCCTGCAGCGCCATCATGGCGGGGCGCCTAAAAGGCTCGGGAATGCAACGCTAAACCGTGAACCCTGTAGGGAATTCAGATGATGACCTCCACGGCGAAAGAAAACCGGACTACTTCTAAAGAGGGTTTAGGGTTTAGGGTTACGGTTGAGGTTTAGGGTTCAGGGTCACCTCCAGCCAAGCACATGCTTCAGACTTAAGGACCATTCAACGCCATGGTCCTTCAGGTTCGGCTGAGACCTCAATGGCACCGCCGCTTGGAAAGCAAGGCGGGGCTCAAAAGTATGGGTTTAGGGTTTAGGGTTTTGGGTTTAGGGTTTAGGGTTTAGGGTTTAGGGTTCAGGGTTTAGGGTTTAGGGTTTAGGGTTTGGTTCGTGCGCAAATGCTCTTCACTATCCCTCTGCTTCTGCCTCATTTGGGGTGCTGCAAGGCATCAGAGCTCCACTAAGAGGAATACAGATTGCCGTGTGGGAGGTACACCGTCTACGGGGAAGTCCAGAACTTAGTCGATGTCGTATCTTTGCCACACAGCTCTGCTTCACCTCCAACACTTGCAGGCGAAGCTAACCCTCCATTGACTTGCATGTTGTTGTACATCATGGGTTCCCAAGCCCCTCTGGCACCCTGACTATTGTTGGACGTTAAACCTAATGATCTAATGTGCACTCGATTTTTCTTGGAATTTGAACCTCATGTACACTCAACAAACCCGAACTCCGAACTCTAAAACATCTGAAAGTTAAAGCATCCACCGCCACCTTGCCTGACCAGAAACCGCCCAAAAACCGCTTCTGGGAGACCAGGGTCGCTACTCGGAGAGGCGGGCGCCGCTCCGGCCTGTTGGGTCGCTTCGGGATGGAACTTTGGTGTTCTGGGGGGGTTTGGGGGTTTGGGGGTTTGGGGGTTTGGGGGTTTGGGGGTTTGGGGGTTTGGGGGTTTGGGGGTTTAAAACCGGGTTTGGGGGTTTGGGGGTTTGGGGGTTTGGGGGTTTGGGGGTTTGGGGGTTTGGGGGTTTGGGGGGGCCGTTCAACCTTTAAGTTTAGGCCACCACAGGGCGCCCTCCTGTTTGTTCATTGGGTACCAACATGGGTTCTGGATGCTTTGTGGAAGGATGGGCTAAGGCTTACCAAGTTGCACAAGGAAGAACCCAGAAAGTTTCAGGAAGGAAGAAGTACTGCCGCATGCCAGTTTCATAGGCTGCCACAAGCCCCACCGCAAAACCCTGCACCATCAATAAAGGGGAGACGGGACATCATGTACATCTCAAGAGCCTGGGTAGTGTGGATTGCAGTCAGAGGAGGCTTCAAGGACACTTCAAAGCTTCGTACTATGCAGGCGCAGTAATGTCTGAGTTGTCGCAAGTTCAATCGCTCCAAAATATCTCAAGGCAACCTTCTCATAGCATGGCCTGAAGGGAGACCGCTCTTTGGGCGACGGCGCCTGAAAAGCGGTGATGGCCCTTGGCGTTACAAAGCTACAGGGCCTAAAGACGCACTGTTTCTTACCACCTCCTGGTCTCATGTCTCTGAGGTCATTAAGTGAAAGCATATTATATATATATATATATATATATATTTTTTTCTGTTAGGCTATATTATAATACATATATATATATATTTCATTAATAGGAATTTAGACACAACATAGGGGTGGCGCAGACACCGATCGGATCACGGCCCAAAGACATGCCCCTGCGTCCGTCATGTCTTGCTTTCAGGGGTGCCCCTGCCTCAAGCTCTGCCAGATTGCCTTAATACAAAGTGGTACTTATAGGTGTTGAGTTTTTCTTGGGAACTTAAGCTTAAGCTTTGGGTTTTAAGGGGGTTTTACAATACCCCCACCCCCCTCCCACCCCAAAAAAAAATGTTAAAGGATACCCACCCAGCACCTAAGGGTACAAGGACAGGAGAGCCGGGGTCCGAGCAACGTCTCGTCGACAAGGGTCGCATCTTCTTTTGAGGCAGCTGGAGCACGGGCCTCGAAGACACGATGCACAGGCACAGCTTTCCAATGATGGAGCGAACATGCGCGAACGTTGGGACATGCGTCCTCTATGCGACACAGCGCAACGGGCGCTGGGCCGCTGCGCTGGGGGACAGCACCCCCCTGCCGGCCAGAGCAGCGGCTGGATCCCCCACAGGCTGGTATGGGTGGGAACTGAAATGCTGGCGGCTTGGGCGTCGAAAGCCACTACGGCGGCGCTCGACGCTCCAGCATGTCCCTACACAAACGTGTTGCACAACAAGTCTGCGAGTCTTTTGGGTCGGTTGTGTGATGTTGTATGGTGACATGTGTGGTGGGGTTGTTATTCTGCATCTGTGAGACAGTTCAACCTTGTGGTCTAGTGTAAATGCCCCGCTCTTTTTGCCTGATTCAAGTCGGTTTAGGGTTTAGGGTTTAGGGTTTAGGGTTTAGGGTTTAGGGTTTAGGGTTTAGGGTTTAGGGTGGTTTGCCGATGTCACACTGGATCCCTCGTTGGAAAGAAGATGAAATATGCTCTCTGCCCCTAGTGGGAAATAAGATGAAATATGCTCTCTGCCCCTAGAGGGAAATAAGATGAAATATGCTCTCTGCCTCTTCTTCTTATGCTTCTTCTTGTTATTATTGCTATTCTTATTATTTTGAGTCTTCTTCTTCTTCTTCTTCTTCTTCGTCTTCTTCTTCTTCTTCTTCTTCTTCTTGCTCTTCTGCTTCTTCTTCTTCTTCTTCTTCTTCTCCTTCTTCTTCTTCTTCTTCTTCTTCTTCTTCTTCTTCTTCTTCTGCTGCTGCTGCTGCTTGGCTTGAGGGGGCCTTGCGGACACCCCTCGCGCATGAGCGCGCCCCGAATCCGTGTCCACTGTGAGACTTTCTCCCAGACTTCCCCCCAAAGGCCGGTTTTGAATGGTTTGGAAACCCTTCTCTTGATTGCCGGTTGTTTACCACTTTGGAGGGGGCACCGTTGACCTGCTTCTGTCTTCGGTTTCTCCCCCGAACCACTTGACACCCCCGAAAACTTTCAGGCACTTCGTTGGCTGACTGCGACCCGGACGAGGGTCAGGGTTTAGGGTTTAGGGTCTCCATGCAAAGCGCAGCTGGCAGCTGTTTGGGAAATATTGATCCTTCACGATTCTTCACTTTGCGGACCCTGGGCTCTCAAAAAACTCCAACAGTTCTGAGACTGTTCTGAGGCGCCGGCCGTGGCATCCCGAGCCACGGCTACGGCGAGGCTGCCTCATACTGCAAACTGATGTCAACGAGAAACCACTGAATCAATTCTTTTTTGGCAGAAATGGGCACCCTCCCTGGGCAGCACACCAAGCCCTCGAGTCGAAAACTGGGAATGGCTGATGCATGCTACGATGTGCTACGATGAAAACTGTTCATGCTTGCGGTCTGAGAAAGAGGAGAACAAAGCCACAAGTGTCCAGAGGCATACGGGAGTGTACAGAAGTGTACTGCACTGCTTGCATGTTGACTCCCTGAGAAATCATGAAATCTTCCCTGAATTCTATTGACGGGGGGGCTGTGCTTGCAATAACGGCCTCCAGACTACCATGGCTCTACCATGTCTTCGACCAAATTGAATGATCATCTTGGATGCAGGCCTCGCACGGGATGCGCAGCCTGAAGCTTGCGAGGGGTTCAGGGTGCAGTAGCGGCCAGAGCAGTCGTGGCCACTGCCGCTCGCGGTGACAGCACACATGCTGGATCTTCCGACTCTCATGCCGCAAGGCGCACGGCCTGTGGAGCACACCTCTTGGGGCCGCGCACGCTCGCGAATCTCGTTGAAGTCGTGGTAGCCCTGGGGCCTTGCAGCTTTGCAGATAGTTGATTTGCCCGTCTCTGCTCCCACTGCTGCACATTAGAATTCCGGCTGAAGCCGCCTTGACAACGGGTCGTCTGCCGTCTTCGCCATCCAAAGCGAAGGCAGGACCTTCACATCCTGGCATGTCTTGGACCAGCCATCTGTGCTGGCTTATCGGATCCTACCCTCTGTGCACAACACCTCCGAAATATGAAATATGCTGCATGTGCAGGGAAAGCGCAAGCAACATAACGACGAACAGACTCTTCTGAACTGGGCCAGCTACCTGCCTCCAAGTGGTTCCCCACGTGGCGCCGCAGCTTAACGGCGCTGTGTACCGGGCCAGCGACCACGCCCTGCCAGAACATGTATCATCGGCCCCCCACCCCCACTGACCTTGGATTCAGACAGAGAGAGAGAGAGAGAGAGAAAAAAAAAAAAAAAACGAAACTGAGAAAGAGCGGCAAAAAACAACAACCGGGTGGGATGACTGCACATACTCCAAGTTGTGCACGGCAAGCCAATACATTAAATACGTTCCACAGCATCTCTGCTACTTCCCGAACCGCAGGAGTGCCATTGCGAGCAGAACTGCCTGTTGGCATGACTACAAACATTTTTATGACAGCGCACGACAACAGAATTGGAGGCAGGTGTGACATCACCTCGCACAAGAGGCCTCATGACGTCGGCTGGAAAAGTGCTGCGTGGTCAAACGGCATGTTGAAACAGTGCTGGCAACGGTGTATGCTTCGCAGAGAACACACGGTGAGCCAAAGAGGAGATCCTACGAGTAGAACCTGTAGGAGCCCTGGTGGGATACGGGGTACGCACACCCCGTTCTCACGAGGTGATCATGCTGCGCGCCTGTACAACAACCCTCAAAACACCAATGCACTTTGGGCATTTCCCAAACTAGGGCACCCCGTATATACCCCAAAATAGAAGAGAAGCCCCTTTAAAGGGACCCCCCCCCAAAAAAGGGCACCCCCCCACTTCTCGGGAAACCCCCCACTTCGTCTGGATCCCTGCCTCTTGCTGCGAGAGTGTCCGCTGATCTCCGGGCTTGGGAGGTGGATGGGCGGCCTGCTCTGGGGCGACTTGACCCGTCTCGGCCATCTGGGCGTTTCCAGGGGTTCCCTTATTGGGGTCCTTACTATAAGGGAATCCTTGTATTTGGGGATCTATATTGGGGCTCCCCTATTTTTCGTAAACTCCCGAATCTTGACCTCCTGAATCCTCTAGCCCTCAGCGCCTTCGCTACCAGGTCTTGGTGCGCTTCCTTAGGACAACATGTGCGGCCGGAGCGTAGAGGACGCGAAGCCCAACCGCCAGACATGTTCCCGGCATGCTGATGCTGCTATTGGTTTAGGGTTTAGGGTTTAGGGTTTAGGGTTTAGGGTTTAGGGTTTGGAGTTCAGGGTTTGATCCAGAAGTGGGATAAGGCCCCGGCCATCACGTCCAAGCGGATGTGAATCGAGTCATGCTCGTCTACACAGCTCTCAAGCCTCATATGAAGTAGGGAACATATTTCTTGTACCCCAAAAGGACACCAGATATATACACTCACCAATATTCAAAAGGAACCCTCCAAGAACATCCAAGAACAGTTATATAAACCCTGCTTCATATAGTTCTTGACTACGCGCCGGCCTTGCGCATGCCGCGTGGGACTGTTCTTTGGCAGATGCAAGCAGGCTGGAAACTGAATCCAATGCTCCGGTGGCTCTCTGGGCAGCTCGCTGGCAGAAGTTGGTGCGCCCAAACGCGCCCTCGCGCTGGTAGGCGTGGCCTGCCGTGTGCGGGAAGAGTGGCAAACACCTGCTGTCAGCAGAATTCGAGCCTGGACCCCTCTTGACTCTTGTTGCGTTCCCAGGAAGGCTCTCATCTGTAGAGCCGTGTCGTAGGTCTGGGTCGAGTCTAGGTGTGCACATGCTGTGCTCATGCCGTGCCCTGAAAGCAATGCCGGCTGCTCTTGCTTCGCGGCGCTCCCGACCCGCTTGCAGCCTGAGTCTTTCCAACCCACGAATTTTTTGGGATGGGGACCGAGGAGCATGATCGGGCATCTTTGGGATTCTTGGGATAAGGTGTCAGCCACTTCCAAACGAGTGACGAAGAAAAAGCACAACATTTTGGAAAGCAGCACCCTAAACCCTAAACCGTAAACCCTAAACCCTAAACCCTAAACCCTAAACCCTAAACCCTAAAACGCCCCGAAGCCGAGCCATGCTGTGCCATGCTGTGCCCTCCCGCGTGCACTGCAGCGTCGCCCCAGCTGGAGCCACAAGGAAGAGCGAGCAGAAGCCTGAAGCGGGGCGCGCAGGGGAATCATGTTCCAGAACCCAGAACCCAGAACCCAGAACCCAGAAAAAAAAACATTGATAAACCTGGAAAAAGACGGTATGTCCCAACAGACCTGATACCTATACTGCTCTCACTTGTTAGAGGTTCTGCTTGCAAGGTGTGCTGGTTCAGTCACTGCTCCAACGCAAGTTCAGAGCTCAGCCAGTGCGCTTGCTTTATTTGGTCGGGATGATCCGTGGAGCGGGTATGCAGATGTTGCAAGGATCTCCTGAGCTTGTGTCTCTGCTAAAGATTGCATGGCAGTGTCTAGGAACTGCCTCGGCTCCTAGATTCCTAGATTCCACAAAGTAACGAATTTCCTGTGCTGAGGAGCCCAACCAAAGGAGTTCAGTGATGATACAGTGTTCAAGGTCCGAACCCGCAAGATCCCGTTGGGCGTTCCCTGGCCTTCCGTCGCGCCGACGTAGCCGGAGGGATAGAAGACTAACCGAAGGCCTTCGATTCCCGCTGCGCCGAAGTCCTCTCACAATTAGCTCTGAATGGCCAGGGGGGCCAGACTGCCACAGAGTCGTACAACAGCAAACTACTACTGTACACCGGGGACTTCTCCGGGCCTTTGGCTTCATGCCGGGATCATCCGGAGGAGAACAACTTCTTACAACCCATAAACCTGGGGCCTCTACTGGGGTGGCTCTTCAATCCGACGGTGCTGAAAGTGCTTCGCCCGGTCCGTGCTGCACATCGCTTCACCCGCTGGAAAGCACTGTCGAAGAAGGGATGCCTGATGCCCCCCGGCAGAAGGCTCGGCCGGTAGGGGCAGATGTTGTGGGCATTGTGACGGGCATTGTGGGCATGGAGTCTAGGCTCAGCTTGGCTGAGCCGGGCTGAGTGTGCCACGTGCTCGATCCTCCACTCAACGATTCGGACCTCGCTCAGGTCACTCGGAGCCTTCCAAGCACTTCGAATCCGAAGGGCTTGGAAGCAAACCCTCCAAACACATAGAGATGCTGTGATCCAGCCATCATGGCCGAAGGTTTAGGGTTTAGGGTTTAGGGTTTAGGGTTCAGGGTTTAGGGCTTAGGGTTTAGGGTTTAGGGTTCCCCACTCAATGCTGAGGAGCTGGCCATCCGACACTTCATGGCGTCGACTTGGTCTCTTACCTGCGACAGGATCACACGGACACATCGCCCCGCCCCCTCGCAGCAGAGCCTCTAGGTTTAGGGTTTAGGGTATAGGGTTTAGGGTATAGGGCTCAGGGTTTAGGGTTCAGGGTACAGAGCAGAGACTGATGGAAAGCCCAGGCCAACGGCAGGTGTCTGCGCATAACAGTCATCAAAGTTGCAGGTTGGTCAGACTGGTCAGACAGCACTCGACGGCAATCCACGTTCAAAAGCCTGCCACAACATGCAAAACACATGCGGACCAGATCCAGGAGTCGATTGTTGATGTGCATGGAGTACAGCAGCTGGCCTCTCGGGATGTCGAAGGTGATTTCAACATATTTCTGCTATGGTAAGTTAAGGTGGGTGGTGGAGGATGTACTAGGAGAGCACGTTGTCGCGGCATGTTGCGGTCCTGAAGGCAGCTGCGGACCAAATCTTGAACTGCTAACATCCAAGCTGCCAAGAAGCGCCAACCTCCAGCGCAACCATGCCCTAACTGCCCTGACTCGCCACGAGGCCTTCAAGAGGTTCCGGGCCGCTGTGGTCACGACCTCGATGAGACTTCTCGTGCAGAATCCGGACTTCGGTGCCGTGCGGCAACTGTGGAACACTCAGCTGCTGTACAGAATCATGACGTCCCTTTCATCCCCTCTCTGGCGAGCTTCTGACTTGAACCCATTTATTGAGTTTTTGGGTCCACAATCAAGGTTATGCAGTTCTCGGGCCGGCACTCGCCGCCACCACTGCGTCCACCTGAACTATTCTTGCTTTTCCAGAGCATCTCACAATCTGAAGTCTCATGCCCAAGACAAGTTATGACGAGCTATGAAGGTGTCTTTCTGGTCTTTACATTCACTTGTGCAGGTGCCCAGTCTTCGAGTCTCTATCTCTTCTCGACCAGGCCTTCTGCGTGCTCACGCTGGTACTCACTGCATGCACGCACAACGCAGGTGCTCGTTACAGAAAAACACACACACACACACACAGAGACAGACAGACAGACTACAGACAGACAGACAGACAGACAGACAGACAGACAGACAGACAGACAGGCAGGCAGGCAGGCAGGCAGGCAGGCAGACAGACAGACAGACAGACAGACAGACAGACAGACAGACACACACACACACACACACACCTACTTACTTCCAGTCTCTGCCTCGCAAAGACATGCCCAGACAGCCCACACCCACATATCGGCCTCAGGCACAGGCTTGCCTTCAGCAATGAGGGCCTTCCTGCAGGGAGGTTCGCGTGCTGCAGAACGCTGGGGTACCACGGCTCGATGCCACTTAAGTCTGCATGCAAGCTGACCGCTCACCAGGGTTCTTTTTGGGGGGCCTGGCGTGAAGAACGACCATCAGGGCAACTAGGTCGAGCTCTAAGGAGCTCAAATGTCGTCATCAGAGGACTGTGGTTGGGCGGACCTTCCTTCGGTCGGCTCGGGAGGTGCCGTCAGGAGGTCTCAAGGAGCTTGGAGACCCGGAAGATTCCGGAGGATGAGCTGTCTGCGAGAACGTCCAAGTCAACCGGCTCATCGCGTCAATGGCACTTACACATAGCTAGTTCATTGTCGGGATAAAAATTTCAAAATTTGGATGTTTATTTATTATTGGGTTTAAGTACCCTTAAAAATGTAAAATGGTATCCAACGCAATATCATCGGGTCGAATGAGACCATGCCACCTGCAACAACTGCGAGGGGGGCCTCCACATACAAGTAATGACCGATAAACTCGAGCTTCTCTTGTCACTGAGGCCAGACACAACTTCGGCCAACAAACCAAAAAATCCGTAGAAACCTTAAACCCTAAACCCTAAACCCTTAGCCCCTTAAACCCTAAACCCTAAACCTTAAACCCCAAACCCTTAGCCCCTTAAACCCTAAACACTAAACCTTAAACCCCAAACCCTTAGCCCCTTAAACCCTAAACCCTAAACCTTAAACCCCAAACCCTTAACCCCTTAAACCCTACACCCTAAACCTTAAACCCTTAAACCCTAAACCCGAAACCTTAAACCCCAAAACTCCAGGTGCTCTTGTGGTGCTCTCCTCCAGTCGGGCGGGTGAGGTGCTGCCGGCTGCACCGGGGCCTCGAGCTCCCGCAAGGCCTTGGTGAGGCTTTGGGGCTCTATGAGGTTTAGGGTTTAGGCTTTAGGGTTTAGGGTTTAGGGTTTTTGGTTTTTTCGGCTCCAAGATGACTCTGGGGGAGGGGGGCGGTGAAAAGAGAACAGCGTTTCTCCCAACATGTTGTGGCAGCAGGTCGCAAGTGCAGGTGATTAGCAAGAATGCCTCACTTGAAGCAGACGATCTCATGGTGACCGCATAGAGATTTCTAAAAAAAAATAACGAGAACCCTGTGTAAACCCTGGACCCTGATTGACCCTCAGGCCCCTGAGCCTTGCCTGCACCGCCTTTGCAATCATTCTTGGCCCGCCCTTCGAACCCTCAACGACCCTCAACCCCTAAACCCTAAACCCTAAACCCTAAACCCTAAACCCTAGACTCCCTACACCCGAAGGCACCTCTAGCACCTCGCAGGACACACGCAGAGTGTCATCCTGCAGCCAGGAGGAGGGTGAGAGAGTGGGCAGAAAGTGCAGGGAGGGGCCCGGGCATGAAACTCCAGTCAGCAACGCTAGCTGTGCCATGTTATGCCTTCTACGCGTGCGATTGGGAAGCCCTCCTCCTTGTTGATCTGGTCAGCGAAGAAGCAGAGGCGAGATGTGCCTGAAGCTGAACAGAAGTACAAGAATGAGCTCTCGCTGGTCATGCCTTGTTATGCCCAGGCTGCCTACTTTTGGGGCCTTGAGAATTTGAGTGGGGTTTCGGGGCTATGATGGTAGAATTACAAAGGGACCATAAGGGAATACTACTAGCAATTTAAACCCTAAACCCTAAACCCCTACATGACAAGAAGGAGCTGGGAGTCCCTCAAAGCCTCCGGCCGTAAGGCACGCGTCCGTTGAACTTCTTCTCGAGGAGCTGCGACCTCAGGTGTGTCTGGGCTGGGGATGTTCCCCCTTATGCTAACAAGTCCTTAAGAAGGGACTAGGGAAGTTAAATTAAAACAACAATCAGCAAAATTAGATTCTTTATCGAATATTCTTAGTAGCTGTCTTAAAAAAGTAGCCCCTATTCTGATCCCTTATACTAACAGTCCTTCATAGGGATGAGAGTAGCTCCCAACTAGAATCCAGAAAACGGGGCTGATAATTTTGATTACAGTAGCCCGCATTATTATCCCTTTCAGGAGCTGTGAGTCTAAGCGGGAACATCCCAATGTGTGGGCCATGTCCACCCCGGTTGCGTGATTGCGACTGACTTGGGGGTTTCCGAACATAGGGGTACCCTTTTTGGGGGTTCCTATGAGAAGGATTCTACTATTTTGGGGGGGAAATACCCACTTGAGTTCCACAGCGACAGAATCCTGAGCATGCAGCGCTGGCTGCTTCAGGTCTTCAGGAACATTCGCACACCAGCTACGAGCTACAGAGCCTTGGAAGCAAAAAACCATCTTGCAAGAAACGGTGTGAAAAAAAGACGGAACCTTGACGTCAACAAATCGTTCCGCAAGCGATGTGTGATGGCATGCAACACGCACGCCAAGAACCTCGCTTGCTTCCAACTGCCAGCTTGTATACCAGATTGCAACCCTTGGTCGCCCAGAGGTACACGGCACAGTCTCCCACCTGGAATGCCGGGTGTGCACCCTGGGTAGAACATTGTCGACTGCAAATAGGGTGGAGACTGCTGCACATGGCAGATAAGATCAGACAAGCAAGCCCCGCAGAACATGCGCGCTTCATAAATCGCCACGTGACCCGCGCAGCATGCAAGTAGGGAGCACTGCCCTCCTTAACATCAACTTCCATCTAAGTTAAATAGCACTGCCCTCCTTTCCATCAACTTCCATCTAAGTTAAATCCCATGCCGTAAACTGCATCGAAGCTGTACCCAATTGGCCTCCTGGCCCTCCAGGGGTGGATCCGCCACCCGGAAAATCTGCCAGCAGCAAATGCTTCATGGAGGCACCGCTCAACTTCTTACATCCTTGGATTTCTTCACGTGCGGACTCAACGTCAGGGCACAGAATCCTCATTCTAGCTGTACACCGCGTAGGATCACCGCTGGGGGTGCACGCGCGGGCTCCAATCTGAACCGAAGCTGATGTACAACATTGTGTTCACAGGATTGGTAGCACCAACTCGCTACTCAATAGGAGTAAGGGGATCTCTGGACGTTTGTGGTGCAGAGCCAGGTGTTCTTGCTATTTGTTGTTGATGTGTTCTTCCTCTTCTGGGTTTTCGTTGAAGGTTTGGGGTCAGGGCTTCAAAGTGTTTGTTCTACCTTGCCTTCTGTCTTTCAATTCTCTCTTTCCAGAGACCAAGTCCGAAACACAAACAACATATGCTGCACAACATCTTCAAAAAGGCACTACCCGCACAGCTCCATCGGAACTGCAACATACAAGCAACCCACATCGCGCCCGGAAAACAAACGAACGCCCATGCGAACGAGCACAAGGGCACCCCTTGGAATGTGCTCTGGAGTGCTGCAAAGAACTCTCTCCCAAGATCTACTATTTGCTTGGGAACTCCCGAAAAATGTTTACAGCAATCCCCTTTGTTACCTTCATAAGGAAGACTACTTTTCATTTTTTTTGGGGGGGTGGGGGGGGGGGGGGGGGGTTCTTCAGCAATTGGTAGAGGCTGCTCCAAGCCTGCAACTCTAGCTGCAGGCCGTGGCAGCCGCCGGCGTCAAAGAGGGGAGAGAACCTGTACGAATTGGGATGCGCCCCCTTATACTACCAGCTCCTTCATAAGGATTATAGGGGGGGGGGGGGGCGCCTTATACTACCAGCTCCTTAATAAGGATTATAGTAGGGGGGGGGGGGGGGGGTACTAGAATCCCTATTAAGGACTGCTAGCCTAAGGGGGGACACCCCGGTGTGCGAACTTCACTCGCTCTGAGGCCGACTTCCACTGCAAGCACAACGACGCTTATGACAGGAGCCACAAGAGGAACAGGAAGAACGGTAACAACATCAAGAACAGTAACAAGATGAAGAACAAAAACAAGAATAACAAGAAGAATAACAGGAAGAACACCAACACCAACACCAACACCAGCACCAGCACCAGCACCAACACCAACACCACCACCACCACCACCGCCGCCACCACCACCACCACCACCACCACCACCAACACCAACACCAACACCAACACCAACACCAACACCACCACCACCACCAACACCAGCAGCAGACAATTAACGCCCATGAAGGACGCAAGGAACTGAGCGCGTCGACCAGCTGACATGGGGCTGGATCTTCACATCGTCCTGACAACTTTTTCTGCTGAGCACACCTCATCCACTCAAAATCTCCGGCAGACTATGGCTCTGACATCTTCGGCGGCTCAGACTGATACTCTCCTCTCGGTGCGGCTCAAACTGTACCTAAACGCTAAAACACCGACTAAGGGAAATGCATGTGGTGGTGATGGTTGCTTGTTCTCAATAAGCTAATTTGGCGGGTTTACGACAATAAGGGACCCTCAATATAAACCCCCAAATCGTAGCGTTCCCTTAAAATAAGGACCCCAATAAGGTACCCTAATTTCGGAAACCCCGATTTAGGCAATCTCACCCTGCGCCTAGGCTAGACCCCCGTTACTAGGGCAGCGTTCCAGCACCCACCATTTAAGGGGCATAAGGAGAGACTCCTACAAAAAACCCTTAATCTTCTTCCCCTCTATAACCCCTATAATCTGTACCTTACATAGTCCCTACAAACCTAAGTATCCTGGCCCTGCCCCCAAAACTTTTCATTGCCGTCTCACCTCTGACCACCCCCCCCCCCCCCCCCCCCCCCCAAAAAAAAAAAAATAAATAAATTCTCTGAATTCCGTGGCTCCAGGCCAGTAGTGGAGGCCGGAGTTTCTCCGAAGCTTTGCGGAGAACCCACGTAACCTTGCAAGGAAGCAGACTGAGACATGGGGCTTGTGAATTCTGAGTTCCAGGACTTCAAACGTGTGCCTTTTTTGAGTGGTGCGCTGTCAGAGGTAGATATAGCAGCATGAACAAGGCATAAGGCGAAACATCTGCAAGCCTCAAGCCCGAAATCTTCAACAGGAAGACCCCCGAAAAAGGGCGAAGGGACCTGGACATAAACCCAAAACCCAAAACCCCAAACCCTAAACCCTAAACCCTTTGCTACAGAGGGGCAGTCGGGAGCTTCTCTTGCATAAAGTAGAAATCCTGTCGGAAAATAGTGTTAAGCAGTCCCGGCGGAACTTACCCTTCCCCTAAACCCTAAACTTGCCTAATCCTCCCTAAACCCTAAACCCTAAACCCTAAACCCTAAACCCTAAACCCTAAACCCTAAACCCTAAACCCGGTCGCTCACAGTTCGACCCCCCAAGCTGGGAGCTCCACTCTGCGCGTGGCCGCATTTTGCACCTCGCAGAGTCCGGCCTCCACCGCTTAAAGGTGCCAGCAGGGCGGCGAGCTTTAGGGTTTAGGGTTTAGGGTTTAGGGTTTAGGGGGTCTTCTGTAGGGGTGTGAAGTCGTAAGGCTTTGGGTGCTCAAACGTGAACTCCCTGCACACGATGCTCAAGTCCACACCGTACTTGCCAAAAATGGACTTGGCCTACAGGCTCCCTGCGAAGAAACCACCCTGCTAACTTGGGACCCTATACTAAGAGCCCTTCGATTCATCTTCCCTCTTATACTAACAGCCCTGAATCATGGATGATAGTAGGGGGGAGGGGTGATTTTGTCCCTACACCTTGTACTAGCAGCCCTTAATGACATTGGGAGGGGTACCAGAATCCCTAGTACGGACTGCTAGCATAAGGGGGGGAACATCCCAACTTGAAAACATGAAAGCCCTGCAACAGGAAGCTCTATGAAGCCCTGGAGGCCACGAGTCTGAAGTCGCCGGACCCTCAGCATGGGTTGGGGTGTTAGGGTGCTAGGGTTTTAGGGTTTAGGGTTTTTAGGGTTTTAGGGTTTTATGGTTTTAGGGTTTTAGGGTTTTAGGGTTTAGGGTTTAGGGTGTTAGGGTTTTAGGGTTTAGGGGATTGGGGTTTGGCCCCAGTCCCGCCTGCAATTCCACCCAGACCCTGCATGTCAGTCCCTGCACATCCCTAAACCCATGACATTCCACATAAGCCCAAACCCGAAACCCTAAACCCTAAGCCTAAACCCTAAACCCTAAACCCTAAACCCTAAACCCTAAACCCTAAACCCTAAACCCTAATCCCACCAGGATCCATGAAGCCTGCCTTGAGCCGAGTGCACGAGTCGTCGAGGACCTGTCTCGGCTGTAGAGCAGGTCAGCTCAGAGGCGGGGGCTTCTAGCAAAGATTCGGATTCAGGATGTTTAGGGTTTAGGGTTTAGGGTTTAGGGTTTAGGGTTTAGGGTTTAGGGTTCGCATTGCTCCCTGAAAGGGCTTGGAGAAGGAAGCGGACTCGGCCTATTCAACCTGGGCCTCCGGCTGTATGAGCCCTAAATCTGGGGCAGGCCCGGGTAGGCTTGGGGGCACTGTAAAAATTGAATTTTTGCTTCTTAAAAAATGAAGGAATATATGGGGGATTAAGGGAAATAGAAACTAACAGCTCTGCCCAAACCTAGCTGTGTGGTAGCCTGGACAGTACTTAGGCAACAAACTCTGCATGGCTAAGCTAAGCATGGTATAGCCGGTGGGTCCGTAGATGCGTAGATGTGCTTAGATACTCAGCTGACTGTCTAGGGCTTTAACTTGGACAGGAAACATGGCTGAAATCCATTTTCCAAACAAGCGAGAAGCAATCGAAGCCTAAGAGTCTGCAGGACATTGCTGCAGCCTGGACGTTAACAAAGGTCTGGCAGGTCAGACGGCCTGCGGACAAGCGTCCACATGTTGCACATGATGCAACCATGATGCAATCAGCTCCTTGCGCATTTCTGCATCGATGCCTACTATGTCGAAGCTTCTGCCTGTGCAGCTGGCGCGACCGCTGGAAGTTCAAAGGACTGCTCGGGCAAAGCCGGCTGCGCCTCGGGGCGCTCCAGGCGGTGGACAGGCAGAAACTGACGCAGGAAGAGCAGGGCGACCACCGAAAGCATGCCCACGGCCACGAAGAGCCCATAACGCAGCACCACAGAGCCCATCTCGCTTTCCAGGGGAACCTCGGGATCGTCTTGCGGCCCTTGACCCACGCAGTAGTCCCAACGAGGAGCGCTGCCCGAGCCGCAGGGCAGCTTGTCATCCACCTCACACCACCCATACCTGCAGGACTCAACAGCATCCTGGTCTTAGTCCGCAGGTACAGGAACTCCCTATTTTGAGGCGGTCCAAACCCTAAACCCTAAACCCTAAGCCCTAAAACCCTAAACCCTAAAGAAAGGGACCCCAAAGAATTCGAACGGGGCAGGGCCGTTCCTTCCAGCCTTGCCTCTCTGCACTGGACCCACGGCAGCCATGCCAGCGAATGCAGGTGCTCTGCAGGAGGTCGCTGCAGAACTTCCTCGAATTAGGGGGTAGGGTTTAGGGTTTAGGGTTTAGGGTTTGGGGTTTGGGGTTTGGGGTTTAGGGTTTAGGGTTTAGGGTTTGGGGTTTGGGGTTTAGGGTTTAGGGTTTAGGGTTTAGGGTTTAGGGCTTAGTTGAAGGGCACAACTTTGTTTGAAGTTTCATCTGCCTGGTGTCCGAAGTTTGTCACCTTGCTGATTTGTCGGACTCTAGGATTCGAATCCTCGCTCTGTCCCGGGGGGGGGGGGGGGGGGCGCGAACGGCGAAGCGCCTTAGCCTAGAACCCTGAAGTCTCCTAACTGTCCGTTCAAGGCCCAAAACAGACATGGCAGAACCACAACCCTCAAGGGCACCCATTTCCGAGTCCCCAAACACCAATCATGTCCGAAGCGTCCATTGGCGTTTGCAGCCGCAGCCCTTCGATGTGGGAAAGGCGCGGCAGGGGGAGCCCAGAACCTTCCAGGGCGTTGAGGTTTGCTTTCGATTTTGCTGCGATCTTAATCTTGATTCCAGGATGGTCTTGGGGGTCTAGGGGCTCGCGCATGGTCAGATGAGGTGAGCTTGGTGCGCCGAGAGAGAGAGAGAGAGAGAGAGAGAGAGAGAGAGAGAGAGACTGAGTGGGGGGGATTGATGAACGTGGCAAAGCCGATGCAGTGGGGGTCCTTTGGTACAGCAGATCCGCCTGCCAGCTACCTTCTTGGCAAGCGGCAAAGGGCATGCCAAATAAACCTGGGGCGCACGCCAGAGCAACAACGTCGGCCTCGCCCGTACCTGTGAGGTCCAGCGAATGGGAACGATTGACCGAGATGATGTCAGTCCAGGCGGGCCCGTAGGTAGTGCGCAAGGTGGCTTGCAGGTCAGAACACTGCACCTTGCAACTGCCCTCGATGCTATACTGACCATCCTCCCGGCAGGTTGCAAAGACTGTGCCACCCCAGCCAGACAGGCATTCGTACTTCACCCGCATGCCCTCGGACCATCCTCGGCGTGCAACAGAATTGTTGTAGGTTGCGATGGCATTGTCCACGGGAGGGGGTGTCTTGCAGAATGCCAAGCATCTTCCATGCAAGACGAAGTTCCCATCGTCCTCACAGCTGGCCGTAATGATGCCAATAAATGGATCGACGCACTGATATCGCAACGACATCCCAGCCTGCCAAGTGCGGTTCTCAAGCTCGCTCGGCTCCAGCAACGGCTTCGCGCGCGGGACAAGCGGCGGATCAGGGCAAAGAACCTCTTTGCACTGACCCGTAAACGTCCAGCGACCATCCCGACCGCACTTTGCCCGCATCTTGCCCACGAAGCCCCGAATGCACTCGTAGGAAATCACCATGTCACTTGTCCACTCGCGGATGACCAAGTCGGACCTATGTATCCTGGCAGAAAAAGCCGTGCTTCTTTGCTCAGCGTCTCAGCAGGCTTTCACTACGTGCTACCGTGCTACTACTCGAGCAAGGCTTCTACTCAACATGCCAAGCGTTTCACTGCTCCAACCGGAGGCTGACAGGTGCGGTTTGCAGAGCACTTTAAAGTTTAAACCTGCCTCGAAATACACAGAGAGAGGGAAACAGAGAGAGAGCGAGAGAGAAACAAACAAACAAAAAAAAACCAAGACGAACAGACAAACTGCCAGACACACAGGTACGGACACAGACAGAGGCAAAGGCAGAGGCCCAGACGGAGACATGGCCAGAGAACAAAGACCGAGACACCGACAGAGATTCAGAGAGGGGCACAGAGAGAGTCAGACACAACCCTAAACCCTAAACCCTAAACCCTAAACCCTAAACCCTAAACCCTAAACCCTAAACCCTAAACCCTAAACCCTAAACCCTAAACCCTAAACCCTAAACCCAGCCTGGCGTGCCCGGCTTCCTCGTGGGGCTGGCCGCAGCGGATGGGTTTGCAAAGGCCGGTGGGCTCGTACCGGCCGCTGGGCGAGCAGCGCAGCGAGGGGACGCCATGAAAGCCAGGCTCACAGTCCAGGGCGGCCTTGCCGCACAAAGGCAGCCAGGCTCCGGCGACGCCCGGCAGCCGGTGCCTCTCTACCGTGTCATTCCGGACCTGAAAGTGCAGTTCTGGGGATCGACCCGCAAGGAAGTGCGCGATGTCCCCTTCAGTGTTGCATGTGGCGTAGTAGACCGGTGGCTGTGGGCCCTGGACCTCGTGCGAGATGGGCAGCACGAACACCACGAACCGGTGGCTTGCAAGGCAGCCCAGACTCCAGAACAGGACGTAGAAGAGCCTAGGATGGCTCTTCAAGCCCTCAGAAGAAGATTCCTGAATATGATCCTCTTAAACGCAATGAGGGAAAATGAAAAAAACATCCCAATAGTTCCTACCTAGTAGCAAGATCCACGACTCCGGCCCACAACTTCGCGTTGAGATGGTGAAGTCCACATTGAACTGGGTCAGGCGAGTCAGGCGGAAGTGCGCGTTCCGGGCTGGAGTGGCTTCCTGGCCCCCCGACTCGCTCATGTCCTGCTGCTGCAGTTGCAGCAGGTAGTCCAGCCACGGCTTGCCATAGGGATACGCGCAACTCGCGTGAATGACCGCGAGAATGGGCATCTCCAGTGTGCAGAGGAGGCAATGCAGCTCGTAGATGCGCTTGTCATCCAAGTTGAGAGGCCCGTAACTCAACACCAGCCACTGAAAGTATGTGACCGACACCACGCCCTTCACTCCCCAAAACTTCCAGAAAGGCCCGATCCTGCTCAGGTACTCATCAAAGCTGTGCTCAAAGGTGAAGACGAAGGCCAGCGCAAAGGAGCAAAGAATGAAGTTGACCGCAGCTGCAGCCAGGTGGATGTTGTTCTCGTAGAGCCTTGGTAGCCCAGCAACCACAATAAAATAGAGGGCACCCTTTTCTTGGTGGGGTACTTTTACAAGGGAACCCAGAGCCAAAAAACATAAAGGGTACCACCTGGGCTACCCAGGAGCTCGTTGCAGGAGGTGCAGGTCTTCGAAGCCCAGAAGCACATCGTCGGAGCCCGCGACTGCAAGACCCCGGTCATGACCAGCCGGGTTGCAGTGATGATGATGATCATGCACACCCACGTGCGCACCCCCTGATACGGGATAGGCTTAGGGCCTTAGGGGGACCCTTGGGGATAATAGACCCTCTTCAAGAGAGCCAGAAGAGGGTTAAGACAGGGTGTTCCCTTTTAAGGGCTCCCCCTTGTCCTAGGACCTGGAGGCTCAGATTCCGGAAGGGCACCGCGAACTCCCGGTTCGCCGGGTCGCGGCGGGACTCAACGTCCACCACGGTGACGAAGAGGCCAAGCACCGACCAAAGTGCCCAGGCCTCCCAGATCTCCGAGCTCTCCTGGGGTAGGTTTGGGGGCCCGGAACACATGAAAGTGATATATGGCTTTGTAAGGTTTATATTTGGGGATTAAGGGGAAAAGACAAATGAAAAACGATGTTCGAAAACCTACCCCTGTCTCCATGATGGTGGAGATGATGTGCAAGGAGTGATCTGAGTGCTCGCCTTGCAGCGCCAGCTTCCTCACGCAAAGGTGACCAAAGAAGCCGATGTTCACCGGGAGGAGGAGCATGTCCAGTAGCCCATCCACAGTTGTCTTCGTCACAACGTCCTTGTTTCGGACAGAGGAGAAGTGGCTGACCTCGACGAAGACCACGCCATAAGTCAGCCACAAGGCACAGTAGGAGAGCAGCACCTCCCTCGGCCAGCTGGGCCAGCTGCCCTCCGAGACCATGGAGATCACGAGATACTCGCGGCTGAGGAAACCCAGCTGGACAGCCATGTGGAACCAGTACCAGCGCACCGCCGCATGGGTCGCAAGGAACTTCCTGAGGCGCAGGCACCTGCTTTCAGGCATCTCACTGCCCTCCACATCGACGGAGGCGCGCTTCCTCTTGTAGATGCAGAGGCAGCAGACACAGTTCCAGATGCAGGAGGTGCAGCGCTGGCAGCAGTAGATGAAAGGCCGCGAGAAGTAGCGGAGGGCCAGGGCCGCCGCGCCCAAGCCAAATTGCAGCAGCACGGCATCGACGGAGCCCATGGCCGTGGTTTAGGGTTTAGGGTTTAGGGTTTGGGGTTTGGGGTTTAGGGTTTAGGGTTTAGGGTTTAGGGTTTAGTGTTTAGTGTTTGGGGTTTAGGGTTTAGGATGTAGGGCTTGGGGAAGGTTACGGCTCTTTAGTGAAGTTTATGGGGCTCAGGGTTTGACGTTCAGGTTGCCACATGTCGACCAATTGTCTGGATTACGGTTCCTTCTGGGTCCCTTCATATTATGGCCTCCTGGTATTTGGGGTATGCAAAAGGGGACACCTAGCAGACTGTACGACTATCCACGAATCTATTTATGTTGGATGCCCTGTTGGGCCGTCTAGGCTCACTGCGACATTAAGTGAGGACTGCCCCTGACTGTACTCTGGTAGCACAAGCCAGAGTTCGATCTTCCAGTGCTGCGAAAGGCCACGTACCTAGATGCATTTCAAGCACGGTTGCATAAGACCTCCCCCTTTTTTGCCATAAAACCCTAGCAAATTCCAGCTTGAGAGCCAAACGCACCAACAATCCAATCGCATGTTCACCTTCTAAACCCTAAACCCTAAACCCTTAACCCTTAAACCCTAAACCCTAAACCCTAAACCCAAATCGTGGACTCCGAGTTGCAATCAGAGCTCTGCGGCTGGACCCGAAAGCCCCAACCCTAAAACATCCTGAACCTCCGACTCCCGCCGGCAATGCCACCCTAAACCAGAAGCCCTAAGCCCTAAACCCTAAACCCTGAACCCTAAACCCTAAACCCTAAACCCTAAACCCTAAACCCTGCTCCATGGCCCATACCGTCAGCCGCTGGTCAGCGAGCGTCAGCGCCTGGCAGCTCGCTGTCTTTCCGAGTCGGCCTCCGTCCTTTTTCCTCGACTACCAGTTGCTTAAGAACCCCCCCCAAAAAAAAATAAAAATAAAATAATAAATAAAAAGATGGGTAATATAGGGATTCTATGGGATTATTATTTAGTGTTTTTTTTTGGGGGGGGTCTTAAGCAAATAGTGGTCAACTCACAAGGTCGCGAAAGCCTCAGCTAAGCTTGAGAGGGTAAGTTGAAAGCAGCACCCTGAGCCCTGAACCAGACGGCCCGAGCCTATCTTCAGCCCATCCCGCCTGAGTGAACTTGTGGTCCAACTCCCCGGTCGTGACTCGAACTTCCTCCCGGGCCTGGGGGGGCTGCAGGCTTGGAGCATCAATGGGAGAAGCGATGAGCTCCTTAAGACTTGTCTTTCGAGATTTTGTAAAATACTTTCCAAAAACCGTCTCTCACTCTGCTTCATTTTGTGTCTTTCGCACCTGATGGCTCGAGCGAATATGGAAGCAAATGGGAGCCGAGGATTACGCTGTCGGCCCAGAGCAAGATCATATGAGGCAACCCTAAACCCTGAACCCTAAACCCTAAACCCTGAACCCTGAACCCTAAACCCTAAACCCGATTGTCTCAGGGGGCCCTGCGGAGTCGCCAACTTCCTGCACCAACTCACTTAGCCGGTCCAGCTTCAGCCAGATGTCTGCCTGGCGTGGAGGAGTTCAGGCTTGGACATGCCTCTCTTTAGGGTTTAGGGTTTAGGGTTTAGGGTTTAGGGTTGTTTAGGGTTTAGACCCCCGCAGAACGGTAACGGGAAGAGGGGCAGCGATCCACCGATCTTGCTGTCATCAGCAGCGACGAGACCCTTCACTCAGCGGCTCCTGGTGCCTGCACTACTCGGAGGTTCATGGTACTTATTGGCCAGTTATAATTTGTACTTCTAACCCACTCACAAGCCCCTGAAGTGCCCTAACAAGGATACGATTGGGGTAGATGTACAGTTCTGATAGGGTGAATAAGTACTATGATGAACCTCCAAGTACCCGACTTCTGGACATCCCTTGCCTCGGACACCTTCGTGCGCTCCTCCTCCGCCGTCCGCGCCTGCCCACAGCAGCAGCGTGCTGCTTCGAGTTTCGCATGCGGTGGCGGGGCTACTTGGGCATTTCCAAAAATAGGGGTACCCCTTTATCCCCTTAAAACGACTTCCAAAAAGGGTACCCCTATATTCGGAAATCCCACTTTTAAGTACCTAGTCGCGCAGTCTCTCCCGTGGGGAAAGAAGTGAAGCCAAGTGGTTCGGCAGGAAGAGGCCTTTTGCTCACGATGGAGGACTGCATCCATGTGCTCGCGGCAGGCCTGAGTCTGTGCTGCTCTCACTGGTGAACACGACGAGCTTAGCGCTTGCCATCGTGGGAATTGGTGCTCAAGTGGGCTCCCTCCGTGTCTGAGACCCGAAGGAGGTAACGAAAGCATGTGTCAAATCAACAAGAAAAAGCAGCAACGGGAGACTAGCTTCCACATGTCACGGGACAGAACAGCGTGCGGCAAACAGCCGACCTTGACCAACTCCGATGCGTGGTCCAGGCTTTGTTGCTTGCTCTCCGCAAGGTTTGCAGAGAGCGTCGCGCCTGGTCTCTCTAACTTCCACTCGCTGCAGTTTCGCCGATAGCTGATTCTAGCTCAGAAAACTTAATTAACGCTGTTTCAATTTCATTAAGCAATTGAACTAACTTATGGGTTCAGTGAGGTCGCCACTCAGCTGCTGCATCTCTGCCTGCGAGGAGGCAAAAAAAGCTGCTGGCCTATGCGGTACGACCTCGGCCTTGCCTACCTGGAGTTTCAGGTACTTATAACCCATGAGAAGTGTAGTTATAACCCACTTCTAAGGCCCTTAAGCACCCTAATACGGTATAGGCACAGTTATATTTGGGTTACTAAGTACCATGAACCTCCAAGTAGGCTTGCCACGATTTAAGAGGGATGTTCTGGGAGCTTAACATACCTTCGCTTCTCTAAAATGTGATCCCTTTTGGGGTCCTTAGTGTGAGGCGGCGCCTCTTCATTCGGGTGCCCCAAAAAGGCTGAGAACTGACCATATCTGGAATTCTCCACCAGGAGCATGCCCGCACCCTCTATCCTGAACTGCAATCTCGACTAGGCAGACCCCGAAGACGTTGGTCTGGACAGAGACGTAAACTTTCATGAAAGGGCTTTGGGATGTGGAGGGAGGGTTTGGACTTAGACATTTTGGGTTGCCTCTTCCAAGCGGTCACATTTCACCCGAAACTAAAGCCTAAACCCTAAACCCTAAACCCTAAACCCTAAACCCTAAACCCTAAACCCATTGTCAATGAGCTGGCCGCCGCACCCGAGCGTCGCCCACTGCACGCTCTATGGACTCCGCCATCTCACGCCGGACCTTTAAGCTTACGGCTGCCGGGTTTAGGGTTTAGGGTTTAGGGTTTAGGGTTTAGGGTTTAGGGTTTAGGGTTTAGGGTTTAGGGTTTAGGGTTTAGGGTTTACGGCTTAGGGTTCGCGACGAACGAGGCATGGATTGCAAAGGAAACGCCACCGGTCAAGCGGGTGTAGTCGATTCCCGGACAGCCAAAGCACCAGAATGCTGAGCTGCCCACCAGCGACAACTCCTCTGCAGACCACTAAGACACACTGCCGGGGATCTGCATCTTCGGACTCAAGTGAAGAACCCAGGGCTTTATAGGGCAAGCTTGCTGAAGGATGGGGGGCAAGGACGGAGGCTGCTCTCTACTTTCATGATGCTCCACAGCCTGATCCAAGCGCTCGCACAGCGCCGTCAGCTCATCCGCCAGTATCTTCCGCGTCTCGCCCTGCCGCCGATGCATCTGTTTTAGCAGGTGCTTACTTCTCGGCGGCCTTTGTTGGTCTGAAAGCTTTGCCTTTCCGAGCTCTATTCACTGATGTCTGTTGAAAACACGGGACTGCGCAGTGCGCCGTTTCCGTGTGGCACAAGCCTGAGGCAGAGCTTGGAAGATTGCATCGCAGATAGAAGATGTGTAATCAAGGTTGTGAGTACTAAGTTACTAAGCCCGGTCAAGCACGCCCTGTGTCGCCAATGCCAAAAAGCACCCAACAAGGGCCAGAAACTCTCCGAGCTTCAGGGATATATTTGGGTATCGGAAACCCAAAACCCAAAAACTCAAAACCCCTACACCCTAAGCGCCCATGACATGCTCTGAAGGCTTGCTTTGTCTTGGACTCTTCTGCGTGCGGTGGTCATTTCTCATGTATTGCCTGTGTTGCTCACCTGAAGGACCTCAGCCACAAAACTACTGGTCTAGCGGTGATTCGAAGGACCGTTGGAGACGCGAATGCAGCTCACAATGCCCGGGCGAAACCTTCTTATCATTCTTAGATATGCCCCTTAGGAACAACATTAGCCGGCCGGGGCGTGGTTTCATTATGGAGTACACAGGCACTTTAGGGAGACGACGACCACTTCCCCTGTAATCCTAGTGCCCATGGCCTCTGACGTTGTCAGGTCTCGCGTCAGGGCCTGAAGCTCAGAGTCAGGTTGCCACCAGCAGGATCTTGCAGAAATAGTAGCAGCGTAGCAGTTTGGGGTGCAGAGTGCCTTGGGCCTTGGGGTGAGAGCTCGCGACTAAACTCAAGGCCAGAGTTTCTCTCACAACAGAGGGCTTCCATATAAAGGGGGGGGGGGGGGGGGGGTACGGGGGTAGGGGGGGTAATTGGGGCCATAAAAGGGGTATAAGGGGGTCCTGGGCAAACCATGGCAAACCCTGTGACTGAAGAGAGTATGAACTTTAGGGGCGCCTGGCCTCATCCGAGTGCTGCAGCTGTGCCAGAAGATCCGCCAGCTTGGCGCTAAGACGACTGTCCAGGTCGCCGATCATCGTGGTGGTTGTCGCCTGCATGGATGGGAGGTAGAAGAGGTCTGGGTGGAATCAAGCTTCCATCACTTCATGCACTGGCTACATTCGGATACTGTCCGTATATTTTTTTCGGCCAGAAGCAGTGGACCCACCATCCCAAGTCTTCACAGAGCATCCTCGAAGCAACGTCAAAGGTGGCCTGTGCATCGTCCGCAACTCGTTTCGTCGCGGTGATTGCCTGAAGGCGATTGGTTTCCTCCCTGACTGTTTGTTAAACGCTAGACATGTCAGTGCAAGCCTATTGGCCTGCAGCGAAAGCCGTCTTCTCTGCTGTGCACTCTGAACATTTTGAACGGCTTTGGAACACTAAGCAACGCGCCACCTCCACGTTTCTGGCCAGCTCGACCTTTGCAACCTGCGGGCCGCACAAGGGCCGCACAAGTACGTCCACAAGTTTCCAATTCGGAGGTCCATGCCTGGGGATTCTTAATGTGAAGTGAACACTGCACTGGCACAGGGAAGGTCATGAACAAGTGCCAAACAGATCCGCGCCGTTAGGCAGCGACATCTAGCCAGGAACCTGCTCAATCTTCCGTGTCAAGTTTCACAACCAACTCCTGAACTGCAACCCAAACCAACAATCGTCAACACTGAGCCTCAACACCTACGCCTCAAACGAGCATTCCACAATCCTCTCTAGCAGAGAGATTCATGGTTCATGCTCGTGGTAGTCTTTCAAAGACTACAAAGGATCTCAGAATTCCACAAAGCTGAAACCCAAAGCAAAACTGCCAACCACCCCTACCCCCATTGAGTCTAGACGAATCGTCCTTCTTCTGCATCCAATGTGGCGTCGCAGAAGCTGCTTCGTCCGAGCTTCTATCAGATGACCCTAAACCCCAAACCCTAGACCCTAAACTCCAAGCTCTAAACCTAACCCGAAACTTCAGGGTCGGTACTCTCGGGCTTCAGTGGCCCTCTAGCGCGCACACCACTCGAAACCCTCATTCCAGCGTACCCCTGATATAAATACCTCTTAAGGAGTCTTAGTAAAAGGGGGAACATTACAACACAAAACGCTCAACCCTAAACCCTAAAACCGTAAAACGCTTAGACCCTTAGACCCTTTAACCCTTAAACCCTTGGGGGAAAATCCCAACCCTCAACCACAGAGCCCCGAAACCCTAAACCCTAAACCCTAAACCCCAAACCCTAAACCCTAAACCCTAAACCCCAAACCCGAAACCCTAAACCGTAAACCCTAAACCCTAAACCCTAAACCCTAAACCCTAACCCGCAACCACAGAACCCCAGAAGCCTGGAGCTCAGCGATGCGGTCTTCGCATCCCGGCACCTCAAGTGTGGCCGCGAGTCGCGGCTTCGTATGAGCTTGGTATTCCGTGATCCCTAAGTACGCAACACTAAACCCTTTAGGGTTTAGGGTTTAGGGTTTAGGGTTTAGGGTTTAGGGTTTAGGGTTTAGGGTTTAGGGTTTAGGGTTTAGGGTTTAGGGTTTAGGGACATGCGACCCGAAATTATCATGTGAAGTCCTCGAAACCCGCTCGCCTTGGTGCGGAGCTCCTTCAGCACCCCGTCGATGCGGCCCTCTGCAGGGGGATTGGGGTTTAGGGTTTAAGGGTTAAGGGTTTAGGGTTTAGGGGGATCTTGGATGATCTTCGGGCCTTAAGGGGTGCTGGGAAATCTCCGAGGCCTTCTCTATGGCATCCTGTACTAGGCAGCCCAGGAACCACATGGGGGGTTTACGAACATAGGGGGGGCCCTCAACATAGAGATCCCCAAATAGCAGGATCCCCCTTGTATTACAGGGGGATACTCTCTGGGCCTTTCAGGGCGAGCCTCCCAACACTATGGGGCGGGGGGGGTTACCAGCACGGGGGATTCGAGCCACCGGGCCACTGCGGGATACCCCTCATCTCGGAAACCCCCTAACATTGCGCACATGCTGGGCTATCATGGGGAGAATGGCCCCACTGAGCATCCTATATGCGCCCGCGTTCCGCGTAATCCACCCCCCCCCCCCCCAACATGGCAACCTCCCCCAAACCCTGCCTGTTAACCCTAAAAACACCACGGACCACGGGAAAAAAAGAGAAGCCTCAGCCTAAACCCCAAACCCTGAACCCGAAGCCCTAAAACTCAAACCCACCAATGAACGACAGGAGGGAGAAGGGTAAACCCGAAACCTTTGCTGCTTTAACCCTGAACCCTGAACCGTAAACCCAGCACGAACCACAGGGGGGCGAGTGGAAACTGAAACCTGCAATTACTCCAAACCTTGAACCCTAATCAAACTCTAAACCCACAGTGAACCCTACAGCCTAACCCTAAACGGCTAAACCCTAAACCCATGAACCACAGACCATGAACCACAGGGGGGAACCCAAAACCCACCATGAACCACAGGGGGGGGGGGGGGGGGGGGGGTGCGCCTATGCTGGCGCATATAGTCCTAGATCTTCCATAGCGCAGGACTTGGTATTGATGGGGGGGACAAGCAGTTCAGCAGTGACTTTAGGAAAAACCTTATACATTTCGTGCAAAAGATGGCTCCTCACCCCTAAACCTAAACCCTAAACCCAAACCCTAAACCCTAAGGCATCCAAGAGCCTTATGCCATCTGCCCCCCGCCTGGAGTTGCGACTTGAGCTCCTCAAACTCCTCGAGGGTCACCAGCACTGGCTTCTTCGGCATGGGGCCCGCAGCTTGGGCGTAGGGTTTAGGGTTTAGGGTTTAGGGTTTAGGGATTAGGGATTCGGGATTTAGGGTTTAGGGTTTAGGGATTCGGGATTTAGGGCTCAGGGTTTGCGGCGGCCACGGCATCACCCAAGGAGTTCAACTGCTTGGTAGACGGTGGCTGTCACTCATGCAGTCAGTCATGCAGACTACTCGATCCCACAGCCGCACACCCGAAGAGTCGGTGATGAATATCCCCTAAGACCTGATCTCTAGGGCCCTGCCGCTGCTTCTTGCAATTGTTGTTGATTTTCGAGTCTTCTTGGGCCATCAAGGGGCATGTTTTGATCGCACCTAGCCGCTCTGCGGGCACACATTAGCCGTAAACAACCTTCAGCCGGCTTCGGGGCGCCCGCAACTTGTAAGGTTTAGGGTGTAGGGTTTAGGGTTTAGGGCCTAGGGTCTAGGGTTTCGGGTTTAGGGCTTAGGGCTTGGGGTTTAGGGTTTAGGGTTTAGGGTTTAGGGTTTAGGGTTTAGGGTTTAGGGTTTAGGGTTTAGGGTTTAGGGTTTAGGGTTTAGGGTTTAGGGTTTTCAAGCTCGACTTGCCGGCCTGTGCGCAATTGCTGAGACCCAGGCAGGAAACAAAAGAGCAACGTCCCGGAACAACCAGGCTGAAAATTTCATACTTGCCCTAAACCCTAAACCCTAAACCCTAAACCCTAAACCCTAAACCCTAAACCCTAAACCCTAAACCCACCCCAACTTCCCACCACCCCGCGGAATCCAACAACCCTCAAACCCCTCAAACCCCATCGCACCTGAGAGCCGCGGTTTAGGGTTTAGGGTGTTTAGGGTTTAGGGTTTGGGGTGTGGGGTTTGGGGTTTGGGGTTTAGGGTTTCGGGTTTAGGGCAGAATGCCACACAGCAACCCCATGTTATAGGGCTCTTGAGGGAGGGTGGTTCAAGGGGGGTATGTAACCCATCCCCCATGAACCACCCCCTCTTAAGAACCCTACAACCTACAACCCTACAACCCTACAACCCTACAACCCTACAACCCTACAACCCTACAACCCTACAACCCTACGACCCTACGACCCTACGACCCTACAACCCTACAACCCTACAACCCTACAACCCTACAACCCTACAACCCTACAACCCTAAAGCCTAAACCCTACATGTGCGCCCGCCACGTGCATTTTGAGATTTCGCCCCGTTGGCTCACTCCTTCGCCGTGCGAGCCCAGCCTCAGAGCTTCTGGCACCCATGTTGGGGCGAGTTGGGAACGCTCGGGAATAAACCCTAAACCCTAAACCCTAAACCCTAAACCTTGGGGTCCTTGAGCTTTTGAAGCGAGACCCGACTAGTGAAAGCCCACAGCCCAGGGCCGCTGCTGTCCGCCACCAGGGACTGTCCACCGATGGTGCTCCTGCACTTCCCCCCACTCCAAACAGATGCCCCTTAAGGAATATACTTTAAATCATACCAAGGATCCCCATATAGTTTAAGGGAAAATTCCTTGTTTAAGGGGAGCTGGGCTCTCTGGGTATAGAACACCAGACAGAACACACAGAGCATGCCAATTCGGGAAGACAAGAGATGTCAAACCTTTGAGTGAGACACCCAATTACGAGTGTGAGTCTGACAGGTTCTCATGATGTCTGTTAATGTTTTCTACGACACCCGTACTGTTTGAGAAAGTAGGACGACCAAAGACCAAAGGTGACTGATTGACCTCTGTAGAAGAACCAACATGCCTGCTCTGCAACAAGGGTTTCATGTATGGTCCTATGTCATGCACTACTGCGCTAGGCTCTCTACGTGGAGCGGCTACCTGTAAGGAACATGATAGTCAGCACTGGACTGATTCGCCATGTCATGCTAACACTACTGTGTACCAGGTAATGAAAATGGAAAAGAAGAAGCGTCTGTCCAAAGAATGAATCAACCCCCAAATATTAGGATTCCCTTATAATAAGGACCCAGAATAAGGCACCCCCCATTTTCGGAAACCACCACATGCTCCGCGCAGCACTGGTCCCGTTCAGGAGGGGGATAGCTTGTGAGGCTTCGTCGGCACTGGCCTCATATGCTGGCAGGAACATCCAAGATGAAACTGCTCACAACCAGGATTGCCTTTAAGACCCTTTGAAAAATATTCCTGAATATGATCCTCTTAAACCCAATAAGGGAAAACATAAAAATGTTCCGAGGGTAGCAGTAGGCGCCATGGATCTTTTAGAGACATACCGACATGGATCTTTGCGCGTCTTGGATTTTGATGAAAATACTCTCTCGAAGTTCTATATCCTGCACTTAGACAAGAACGCTTCGTCTGTCACAACAAGCCTACCAGTGCGATGTATTCTTGTGCTGCTTGACGCACTCTGATGATGCACTGGCATTAGCAGAAGAAATTCTACTCCATGATGGCACAGGCAAAGAATGCAAACCCCTAAGCCCTTAAACCTAAACCCTGAACCCCAAACCCTAAACATCCCTAAACCCTAAACCCCTAAACCCCGTCGGCCGTGAATTGGAAGGAGCTG